CATGTGTAAAATATTATCGCTAGAATAACTGTGTGCTAATGCCTGTTTCTAATAACTAATAACTTTTTTACACATACTACACAATACGTACACATTTAACTGAGACAGCAGCGCTCTCTACTAAACTTAAACCTTTTAAATATCGATCTCTAACCCTCTTGTCAGTTATGGAGATTAAGATAAACTCCTCTTATATGTAGAAGAGGCCTATAATCTAGTTGATTAGCATCAGATTGATGGTGATGACTACTTTCATAAAGAACGCATGTTATTAAAACCAGCTTCAGAACCAGACATCGTTTTACACCAATGTAAACCAGGTCTTAAGGTCTATAAATAAATTGTCCTGCAACTAACAGTTGGATATCCATGCAAGATGCATCGATACCGCTACACTCGACCCACAATCTCGAGATGTCTCGAGAACCAGTCTCAAATCGATATCGCCCGGAACAGTTACATCGAGAAGTAATCGAGTCATAATTAAGGACATTAATTTAGTAGAAACTTGTAAAGGAGGTTAATGTGGCTAATATTTGTTTAGTATGGGTACAAGTAGAGGATTAAATGTTGATTTTATTAATCGGTTGGTTCTATTTTGATTGTCCGTTATATTTTTGTTTTATGGTAAATTTAAGAGAATTAGCAAACTTCAATAAGTATTTATTTGTCCCTAACAAATAGTGTAGAAACTTGATACCTCATAAGCTAATGTGATAATTGGACATTAAATAAATCAAGAACTTAAATAAATGAAATGTTATTTCGTGAATAAATGTTAGGAGTTAGGAGTTCGTAATCACTAGTATTTTCTTGAATGAAGTGTTTTACATGATAATATCTCGTTCTAATTCACCGTTTTTTCTTTTTTCCAGTTTTGTTCGTGGTGGGATTAAGTAGTGCAAGATGGCTTCGCAATGGTCGCTCTAACCAGCCCAAGGACACCAGCTTCGTAGGAGAGGCGAGCAGTGAACTGTCCACAGCTATCTTCCAGGTGATTGCAAACATTTATTTTTACCTAGTTATGGATGTGTATAGGTCTTTTAGCTTTGTGAATATGTTGATCAGTGAGGCTATTCTGTAAGGTGTCAATTCGAACTCTTGAAGTGAGTGAGCTCCATCGTGGTCCGCCATGTCTTTGGTTGCGAAAATAATCTCGACCAATGAATGACACTGACGCTTCGAGAGATCGAATTGACTTCTTAGAGAATAGCCTAGCAGTTCTCGTTTTCACATTCTTGCGATTATGAATTACAATTAATGAGTTCCTTGGTAGGAGTTCTTATTTCAGTTTTAGACAAATGTGAAATCAATTATGTTTTGCAAGTGGTGCTGCCAGTAATATTAGTTTAAACCAGCTTTGCCTACGGGAGCGTAAGAAACATCCCATCACCTTGACAAACCGTTCGCACTTATAACATTATTAAACGAAATAGAAATAAAAAAACATCCTGGAATGCGAACCGTAGAACCATTCGCATGCATGAGTATTGCCTGAAGCCAAAACTCATGACTATAATGGTTCAGTCTACGATACTGAGACCACACGGTACACTGCACGATTTCCAGCCAATAGCGATACTAATTGTTTCGCTGTAGGCCTAATTGATGTCGAGTATGTGCTGATATGTGGTTACCGAGGAATGTGGAGATCGACAGTCGCGGATGTTTTCATAAATAGCATGCTAGCATTCGTGGCTATAATATAGTAGCGACATAGACAACATAATTTTGTAGTTACGTATTATGTGTGTCTGCTGTATTAATGACATTATATAATGTATGTTATTTGTCTGAAAAACTAAGACTAGTGTAACATGCTAATATTAAAAATAGGAGTAAGAAGTCATTAATTCTAATATATTCTCAGTAAAAGTATATTTTCTAAATAGTAATAAATTATTTTTCTATTTTCAGGGTTACATCGACGATGACAAAAATATTGCATTTTCACCTCTCGGTTATTCGGCCATCTTGGCCATCCTTGCCGAAGGTGCCCGTGGAGAGACTAGAGAACAGTTAGTATCAGCCCTACACTTGCCTCAAGACCCTCAGCTCATCAGGAAGACATACCGCTACATTATGGAAAGGCTGAAGAACAACCACGAGTACAAATACAACCAGCCAGAGTTGAAGAACTATTTCTACATCTACAAGAACTACACCATTAATGATGATTACAAGAAGATTCTAGAAGATTACTATTTAACCGATGTACGATCCGTTGAGCGTTACAATCCTGAACAACATATGCAAGATGATGATGATGATGATGAAGATAAGAGTGAATTCACCATTGAGATATCTGACAAGAAGGATGAGGAAAAGAAAGATGAAGAGATCCCTGAAATGATGCCTCCTAAAGAAAGCGACGAGAAACTTATTTCCTTTGCCGTCGATGATATTCCTGAGAAAGTAGACATTTCCCATATGGACTACAAACCAGCGAAGAACATTAAGGAAAAGATTAAGTTGGTTAAGACCTTCCCTAAAAAGACTGAGTCCGAAGATGAAGAAGAAACTATGGTGGCCGTTGAAGCAAGAAACCATGCTAGGAGCCTTAAAGCTGTGCATGCTCTTCGTGATGTTACGTCCAGCCTCTCTGTAAACAGTGTCGGCAAGAAATCAAGTAAGACAATCTTGTATTGTGTTTGTAACTTAACAGAAAAGTGTGTTTTAATAGATTTAAAATAAAGTTATTTTTAATTTAATTAAATCAGCGCTTACTTACGATTCTCTTTTCTATTTTAGCCTCCATCTCAGACTCTCTAATGATCATCTTCAACGGCATGTACTTCCGTGGGTCTTGGGAGACTCCATTCGACACTATTGAGCCTGGTGTGTTCTACAAATCCAACACTGAGAAGAAGCAGGTTTCCATGATGAAGATCAAGGGAATGTTCAAGACTGGTGCCATTCCTGAACTCGATGCTGAGGCCATTAAGTTGCCTTATGCTGTAAGTATCGATAGTAAGAATAGCTGTATAATATAGGAAAAATTCAAAGGGGACCGTGGTTTTGATTTTCATAGCATTACTGGGTTTCTGACTGTACTAAATACGAATTATTTGACTGTACTAAACATTTCTATATTTATCTAGGGTGGTCGCTACGCCTTGCTATTGGTGGTGCCTCGTACCCGTGACGGTCTGACCCGGTTGACTGCTGACTTGCCCGTGACACCTCTATCTGACATCCAAGACAGTCTAATGGAAGAAGAGCTCCAAGTATCCATTCCTGCATTTTCAGTGGAGACCACCACCAAACCTGTTGCTGCATTGGCCAAGGTGAGTGACATAATCTAAAGTAATTTTATCGAAGTAATTGCTAGACTTCATAACATAACATAACATCACGCCTTTTATCCTTGAAGGGGTAGGCAGAGGTGCACATTATACCACTGTACAATGTAACACCAACTTTTCACTATTTATGTTATGAGTCCCATGTAATATCATTCTTCTTCTTCTTCTTCTTCTTCTTAACTTCATAACAATATCGTTATTATTACTTAAATTTTTTTATGGGATAAGCCGGTAAATGACATCACTTGATGGTAAGCAATCGCCGTCGCTCATGGACACCTGGAACACCAACACAAGTGAGGAACAAGTGCGTTACCGGCCTTTTAGGGATTAGAATTCGAGGATTGTTGGGGATTCAGAGATTTGGGATATTGGGGAAGGAGGGTAATTTTGCCTCCGGTAACTTGACTATCACGACGAAACACAGGGTAAGCGTTGCTTCACTTCGGTTTTGTATGAGGCTGTGGTATCGAACCAGCCCATTTGCGCCGAAGCATGGCTCTCCTACACTTATAAATGGGGAAGTACGACCTGGGATGATTTGTGAACACAATGACCATTGAACGGTGCTTTTGTGACCATTAAATTTTATTTAGTGTTTGAAGACTATAACAATAGTATATTATTTCATTTTATTTTTTAAACATTTTCTTTGTGTTTTTTAGTTTGGTGTTAGCAGTATCTTCAGCCGAGATGCAGACCTGACTGGCGTGTCTTCTGATGAGGGTCTGTTTGTACAAGAGCTGGTGCAGCACGTTGCAGTGCGTGTTGATGAAACTGACAGCTCTGCTTCTCAATTATCAGGTAACACGAAAGCTTTCCCATTCGCAAATAGCGATTGTAATTAGGTATAATAATAATATTGAGCACGTTTATTGTATGCGAAAAGAGATGCTTAGTAAAAGAAAGAACAATTAATTCCCTCTAATAAACTTCATTGCTGAGGTTCACAATTGCAACATTTTTACATAAAAGAATGAAAGACGTAATGAAAAATAGTTTCAAATTAATCCATCAATTTACGTAGATTGGAGAAATAATATTTATATTTTTAATTGCAGCCGCCAACACAGTTATGGAACTATCAAAGAACTTGCCATTGTCTCCACCCAAGTCATACCGTCGCTTCAACGTGGAACATCCCTTCATCTTCTACATCTTGGACACCCTGGACAATCTAGTCGTCGTGGCTGGCAAAGTTATTGAACCAGAGAAACCGTTTGATAACTAACTTAAAAACTAAGTTTGAAAATTTTGAATCCTCATCACCATCTTTGGTATTTCTTTTTCATACTCTGTCCTGAGGACCTAACAACTGCCTTCGGCATTCTCATGAGAGATTCCCACCCGTTCTGCTTGTATTTATTTGTTTCAATATGACGTGCTTCATACCTTGCTGTGAGATTGTACAAGTTTCTAATAAACAACCAGATGCATTTGATTATGAAAAAGTACACAGCGTAGTTTGTAAGTTAGATATAAGTTATTATTTATTTTTTGTAATATTGTGATATGGTTAAGATTAAATTATTTATTTGAATTGGCAATTTTTGTTTCGTTGATTTCTAATATCTAAAGGTTTACCTTCACCAGATTAAAATAAAATTTAATAAAAATGTTTGAGGGTAATTTAAGATGATACTTTGCGAAGTAAAATGATTCACTCATAGTTACAGTCACGCTGGTCGTGGTCACATGTATTTATTGTATTTTCATTTTTGTGCCGGTTACAATATAAAAAAAATGGCGACCTCCAGGCACGACGTCGATAAAGAAAATACACATAAAACAAGAATACCGTTGCCAAAAGATCCATTACCAGCATTGCCGAGTCATTTATTAGAGGATAGTAATAGTAAAAAGCATCTAGAACTTCCAAAAAGATGTCCTCTGAGGACTTTGCTTGCTCAAAATATTCCCAAGCCTGGCCCTAGTAAAGTGGTGCCATTAAAACCTCGCATACCTCTGAAGATTGATACTAAACATGTTACATTAAGGCAGAAAAGTGACGATTTAGATTGGCATTATACAGTGTTCAAAGATAGAAGTGAAGATAAAGATGCAAGTGTTATATCTATTAGTGATGATGAAAGACATTTGGATGATAAGAATAGCCGAAAACATTTTGTAGAAAATAAAAAGAAAAATACTTTGGGAGTGAACGCTGTGACGCCTAATCTGCAGGAATGCTTGGAATCAAATCGTATTAAGAATATAAAAAGGAGTTTGAAAAGACCTCATAGTAGAGAGTTACAGGGTCTGTCACCACCGGCCCCTGTCAAACAACAAAAGGATGATGAAAAAGTAAAAAAACGTTTACACTTTGATGAAACTTTACAAGAAAGACTCGGGACTCCGGATTTCTGTAAGTCATTTAATGAATATGTTTCAATCAAAGGATTCTTGTGTTGTATACAACCTATTCATGACCTGAGCTAGAGTTTGTACAAAATAATTTATTAAATAAGAAGCAACCTTCCATTCCTCTCATGTCAATTTTAGTTCACGTAGGTATTGATTAGTTATTGTACTTATATTCATCGGTATTAGGGACAATATACGTTCACAGTAGATACTATGCCACAACTTGGTTTACTTACATCACACATGTTCAAAAACCTATTGATGATTTTAATCCTCGCAAATATAAAATTAGAATATAAATAAACCATATCATTTATGAGATCATATTTATTTAAGGGATATTTAGAATAATCAATTTGATTTGCCGATTACTAAATGTAAGACATTGATTTGAGCCCTGCTGTTTATTTTTCTTAGTCGGAGGTATGTGTAAATTAATTTGTTGATCTTTGTGCAAAAATTGACATCATCGGTTAAACACTAGACGACCGCTACTACTTCAAACCGGACACAAGTACATTAGTATTTGGTGGATATTTACAAACGAAGCATTCACTATGATTCAATAGTTGATCGAAAAAGGTGTGAAATAGACAACTAGTCGTAGATCGATGTAGTTTGTTGGTGATTTTGTTCATTCTCCAAATGGACAGGATACGTAATGTAGGTGGCAAATGATATTGTTCCAGGGAAGAGGTCATACATGCGATGCCTTAACAGAGATTATTCTGCGGATATGTTCGAGTATCTTCTGGATGTGGAGCGGAAGCCTCTTGATGTGCCTCGCACTCCCAGTGTCTCCAGGGCATGTGTTATCAACTGGTTAATAAAAATTAATGTGAGTATATACCTTTTAATTTATTTTTAAACACTTTTTTGCAAGTTAAGAGTCATCAGCAATTTGTACATGTCATCTAGTAATGTAGATTGTATTTGTTTTCTTATTAATTTCCTTGTTGTGGGATAAAGACATTTGAAAATATTATCTATATAAATAAAAATGAATTTCCGTTCATTAGTCTCACTAAAACTTGAGAAGGACTGAGCCGATTTGGCTAATTATGGTCTTGAAATCTTCGTGGAAGTCCAGGAAAGGTTTAAAGGGTGAGGATAGACCTTTGGCGGTGCGAAGTTCGCCGAGTCAGCTAGTATTTAAATATATTATAGTTGCGCTTGTGCTAAGGTTAGCCTGTAGGTAAATAATTAAGCACGTGCAGCCCAGGTATAAGATATACATAGGTACCTGAACGTTTTTGACAGTAGCTTTATCACCTGTACTGGAAATCAGAATAGGTACTATAACAATATTTTATTATTTTTCTTCAATGTGATTGACACCCAAGACTGCTCCTAGTTTTAAAATTTGAGCATCATATTACAAAGTTACAACTTAAAGCAAAGAATATTTTACTTATATGTTGTGGTATAGTTTCAATGTTTCCTATTTCTCAATTTTAGTATTTTAGAAATGTTTTCAGTTAGTAATTGGAAAAGATCTTTTCTATCTAATATAATCTTATAATAATAAAAATAATAATTCTCGTTGCCCCTCTGTTGCTATATCTAGCAGCCATTCCCGGGGCCCGGTCGGTGAGTTGGCGAGTCTCCGCCTGCCATTTTTACGTGTAATAATTACATTGTTTCGGCAGGTGCCCTAGTCATCCATAGTTCCCAATTTTCCAGTCCACAGCAACCCATCCCTATAGCCCTATCTTTTTTTTTCCATTATTCACAATAGTCCTACACTAACCGGGGACTGTCCTTGGGTGCATTTCCATAGTGCATACAGGGGTAGTCGCCGGTTTGTGTGTCCATTATAGTTAGATTAATGTTGTCTAAAGGGCCTCTGCGCAGTTGGCTTCGGCCCCTCGCACGCCTCCCAAATGACCGGGACCCTGTGGTCCCGTGAATGGTAAAGACATACAAAATAATAAAAATAATCTTTAACAAATTTAACTAAAAACAATTATATCTTTATAGTAGGTGTATTTTACTTCTACAAATTAGCTTCCTAATGGATAATAGTTGATTGTGTTATTTTACATGATGTCATTATAAAGTGTTATCCAGTGAGTAAAAAAGTAATTCCCGAATGTTTTTCCCTTTTTTGTACAATTGATTGTAAGTAATTTATTTATTGTTAGTTTCCTGGAAGTGTGTTAAAGACCATTGTCTATTAAGGACTCAACATTTTTATTTCAAGTACTGAAACAATAGCTGCAGATTTATATGCAATCAATATTGACATAGATGTCTGACCACTTACTGTTAATAATAACATTTGAGGAAAACCATTGCAGAAACATATTTCTAATTTGTCACTAGGTTTTGAAGTCAAACAAAGAATCTTTAAAAGGCACTCCTTTTCCTTACACAATATCACTATGCAGGTTTTAAAAATTAAAAGTTGCATCCAATATCCTCCGAATCACACATCATATTTTTTAGGACCAACTCAATGTTTTATAATGTTGTAGACCTAGGTTGTGGATCAACAACAGTCATTTTAAAGAAGAGGGTGTGGGTTTGACACCTACCAATAGCAAGTACCAATGTAACTTTTTCCGAGTTACCTGTATGTACCTTATAAGATTATTTAGACACCACTGACATACGATGAAGGAAAACATCGTGAGGAAACCTAGACTTATAATTTCTAATTATAAGTTTGATATCGCCAAACCGATGCCAAAAACTGAGCAAGCGTAGTGATTAATGTTTAAACCTTCTCCATGTGAGAAGAGGTCGTTGGTCAGCAGTGGCCAATTATAGGCTATTGATGTCATGTGATGTGTATCTATAGTATGTTTCCAATTATAGGGTACGTTTGGCAACCCGGCCGTTGTCCAAGCCGCGTGTTGGTACTTGGACTCGATCTTAGGAACCGGTCACGTCCAGGTGGAAAGGCTGCAATTGGTCGCAGCAGCCTGTTACTGGATAGCGCAGAAACTGAATGGTCCAGTGATGCCAGCGATGAGGCTCGTCAGGTACTCGTGTTCAGCCTTCACGTGTGAGAAGCTTTTAGCCACTGAGAAAGCTGTGCTGATAAGATTGGTAAGTCTTCATAATTTTCAACGGTCTCGTTAGAGTCCACAGCTGACCTATGACAAATTTACCTAAGGGGATGGCCATAATCTCCATTCCTGCCAGGTGGCTTGGAAATCGCTAAGTTCATGTTTATCAGATAGCCCTACAGCCTGGTCTATCTTCTAATATGCTAAAGTAAAATATTACGTCATCTACTACAGTAGACATTAGAGTTGATCATTCGCAAGATAATCCTATGATCGACTAAGACGATCACTAAAGTTACTAAACTTTTAGTCCTCTGAATATTGCTTAGGTAAAAGTGCACCCACAAAATCAGAAAAGGTCAGAATCTCTGACTGAATGGAAATAAATCTGCTCGGTCGTCATGTCGTTATATGCAGTTAATAAGGAAAACACAATACGTGAAATGAGTTAGTATACAAAATCATCCATCTGATATTTCGATGTTTAATTTATTGTCTCAGTATTTATCCTTAATCCTTAATCATTAGACCTGAGCCTTTGAAGAAGCCATAATTTTATCTTAAGGTTTCAAAAATAAGTGAAAAAAAGAACTAGTTGTCATAGTTGATCGAAGGTTAAAGTCAAAAGTTTGTCGAGGAGTCAGAAATACAACTATGTATTTTATTTAGTAAGGAAATGGAACAATTCTAAAATATCAAAGTAAAATAAAGTATGGAAAGAATATACGCCTAGTCGCCATGACGATGTTATCTTGGGGTCTCATTAGGTTTATTATTTAGCTTGCTTGTTAAGCCAACTACAAACATCATTTGTGCATAAGAATTTGAAATAAGTGTACCATTTCTTAGTCGAGTATGTCTTTCAGTTTGGTACACATTGTTTTAAGCTACCCAATTTGCCAAAATACCCATTCCTCGCTTTAGTGACTTGCTTCATTTGGCTTAGCAGTAATGTTTGAAACGTACCTTACTAAGATAATCGTAAAGAACACATTAAATCTGTTATTTTTCTTTAATACATTAACCTTTTAAACACTTTGAACAATGTAACCTTTTATATTATAACTTTAGTTAGACATACTAAATTAATTATTATATTTTTCGGCTTACTCTGGTAATAACTCGACGAGGAACTCGACTAGTCTCAAAAGCAGTGCGACAGTCGCCGCATCATGGGTCATGCGTGTTCATGAATATGAACCTCTAATAGCATGACTTGTTACTAGTCGTGTTCCTCGTCGAATAATTACGCGAGTAAAACAAAAAACATAATAATTAAATAACCATTCTTTCAGAAATTTCCCCGGCAGCCGGTGGTAGCCCAGGAATTCATAAATTACTTAGCTTGGTGGTGTGCTGGTGACTGCAGTGGTGAGATAGAAGTGGCTGCCACCTTCCTAGCCATGTGTGGAATGATGGTCGACCGTTTTCTATGTGATGAGTACCCGTCAGTGATAGCAGTGGCAGCTGTCAGAAATGCTGTGCTTCTGCTAAGGAAAAGGGAACTGTTGGCGCGACTACACGAGAGTAATATGTATGTATATTTTTACGGACTCTTTTTTGTTTCGTTATGCGGACTTTTGTCCCCACAAAAGAACAAGGAGTCCGCATAATTCTATGGAATGGAATTGCCGTAAAAAGGCATAATTCGTATCAGTTTGAATATTTTAAGTTGAGAGAATTATTTCTAATTCTCTTTCTTTCTTCCTTTCGTCTTTCCCACAAATTTTTCAAAAATCACCTGGCACTGAGAATTTTCGGACCTACAATTTCTGTGTTTAAAAGGAAAAGCAAAATTTAGAACGTTGTGTTTAAGTATTCAATGACCTACACTATAGACGTTATTACAATAGCCTTAATAACTGTCCTTCACCTTAAGGATAAAAAAAACACAAAATTGACATGTAGCTGTATCAAATAGTCTTCGCAGAACAGGTTTTTTATAAAATATTTAAAAAGTCTTGATTTTTGGGTAAATTGTAATCGTCGATATACCGGTTTCTGTTGATAAATACTTGTTTTTTATTTATTTTAACTACTATTTGACGACTGATATTAATTCCTTACAAAGGCAGATGAGTAAACTGGAGAAACTTGTTTGCTATAAGCTATAATAACACGACTGACATTCTAGTACTTAGGGTTGCCGACTTCTAGAAGAAGAATTTATTAATTCATTTACAAATTCAGTTATGAATGGATACGAGAATTATTACATTATAATAAATCGTAAAATGAGAAATAATTCATACGAATTTAAGTAGTGACTTAAATTAAATAATAATAATTAAATTAAATTAAAATTAAATTAAATTAAAATTACATTAAATTAAAATTACAATAAAATATGGTATAGCACAGTGGTGCTATACCATATTTTATTGATTGAATCCGACTCTTCCTTCATTGATAATATTCTTTTCCTCATTTCTAAACAGAAACATAAAACTCCAAAGTATACAATAAGAAATACATAAATAATTCACAATACAAGTTTCAAAACTAAGTATTTATTAGAAAATGTAGGTCAAAGAAGCTTTAGCCAAAACTACCATTTAAAACTTCTATTTTCAGATTCAAAATTGCAGAGAAAAAAGCAACAAGTTTATCGTACACTTGTGCTGTTTTACGTCGGGCTGTTCGTACTGTGGGTGCTCCAATGTATGAATACAAAACACCTCTGGAACATTATGGCATGGCTCCGAACCACATAGCACAGAAGATCATCAGAGCATCCAACGACTTATCTGTTATGGAACTAAGAGTTTCTGAGTCGAGGTTAAAACCAAATTGATGAACATATAGAATTCCATAAATGTGAACTAGAACTAATAGACCTAGACGATTAGACTGACCTTACTAAAGTTACGACATTGAATAATGTTTTAACTAAACATACATTTTTAAATGACATTAGGAATTGTTTCAATCAAGTCATTGCACTTTGGCAGACAAAAATGGTATCATTAACGAAACAGATCACGACTTTCAGAGTAGACTTTTTTGACGGACTGATTTAAATGACCATTAATTTAGAAGTAGAGGTAAGTAAATAATATATTACACACGACGTTGACTATATTTTCAAACTGACTCGACTAGAGAGTAGGAAAACATGAGACTGACTTCAATGATATCGATTGTGTTATGTTATGTAACAAAATGACATTAAAAGCTTTTTAGAGGTTAATTTTGCTGTCAATTTGTGTAATTCGTTTTTAAAACATGTAAATAATGATTAGATTTAAGAGCCATTGATCACAACACAATAATTCAATTTTATCAATAACGAATTTTGTGTTGTGTTTGTCCATACATTTTTGGTTGTTTATTTTGTATTTACGTCAGTTTTGTCCTTGTTTATGGGTATTTTAAAAATTCCAGTTATTAATTTTGTCTGATGTTAAGCCAGATATTTGATTAATTTTCATCCGTATTTCCTTTGTCTACTATTTATCAATTTGCTTGTTTGGGACTTTTTTAGTATTCATAAATTCAGTATCATTGTTTGCAGTGATTTTATTCAAGTTAATTCTTCAATTTTATTATCATTTCTTATTTGCCCTCATGGTGCAGGTTCACGTTCATTTCCTGACTATAAATATGACGAAAATAGATTAATTACAGTAGGATGACTGTTGTCAAACATTTTAAATACATTTGTAAACAGTTTGGACATTTTGAGTAATACCAGTGTGATTTTTTAATTGTCATCTCTGTACACGTAAACGACCTTTTATAATAAAAATAATTTATTTAGACTTTTGTTTTATTTTTATGCCTATTCTTATAATGTGAAGCACAATGACATCTGTGTTGTACAAAACTACGTAGGTAATATAACTATTACCTAACTAACGTTTGGATTTGAATTTCTCTGAAAATTAAGATACAATTATCACCAGTGTAATGTCAGATAATATGAAAAAGTTTCCGTAGAAAATATTAACACACTGTGACAAAAAGCTACATTAACATACTGTGACAAAAAGATACATATAAAGCGTACAATATCATTTGTGATATAGGTATTTTATCGAAAGTGTAGCAATAATAGTAAAATCAGTATTTCGCTTTCGCTAAAGGGTCAACGAACGAATAGAATCAAAATGTATAAAAACATGGTTGGTCTACCTACCTACGTCAATAACAATATCACTGGAGATAATCAAGTTCGCGTTGTTTTTGCTATAACAAGCCCTGATGTGCTCGGAATATTTTTCACTAGAACAAATAAAACTACATCACTTCTTTTCTTATTTATTTTCTTTAGTAGACCGAGTTGCCAACCGGTCTATCGCTACTGTGATAGGAGTATAACGTTCTTAGCTTACATCCTTTTCATATCATGCAAAATAACTCTTGCCAATAACTTACTATGGCATCATTAAAATTGACCAAATTTTTACAAAACCGATTTTTCTAAGTCTGATGTGAAATAGTCAGTTACAAAAGACCAAACTGTTGAGGATAAGGATTCATTGGTTCTGTGTGCAAAATCATTATGTAATGCAGACATTTTGAAGACGAAACCTGATTATAATGAAATAAATAAAAATGTGAACAGCTATTCTCTTGTAGGTATCACCGTAATTGGAAAATTGATTTAGGTTTATGTTCTTTATTAAGCGTTCGACTAATATACTTACTATTTCAAAAAGCTAGATTGCTAGAATAACGATTGATGACTAATTTATTTTGTAGCTAGATTAAGATTACCACACAACTAATCTTAATTAAGATAAAAAAACTAAGTGTTATAATAATTTCATCATCGATTCTAAACAAAGTGTCATTATACTCGGTCGCGCAGATATCTTATAAAATATCCATATATGAGTATATTTTTAAAATGTATTAAGGCTTGCCAAGGAAAAACATAAACCGGCTGTTCGCGGGAAAACCAATTCGTGTAGACGACATCTATATTTGAAGAACCATTTTATTGAACATCAACTTTAAACTGTGTAGCCGTACGTTCAAATTCAAATGACGAGTTCATTAAAATCACATCTTACTATTATAGAGTTGAACGAGTTTTCAACGTAAATGATGCTTTAAGCGAAAGAGATAATGTTTAAAATTATTTGATTCATTTAAACGGGTTTTTAGTCGCGGATTCTTGTTTACGGCCACTCGCCCGGTAGTGTCAGTGGTTAGTGCATGTACGTGAACTGTGCGCTGGCGCATTTGATAAAGTGACTAACGAAAAATAAGCTACATGTGACAGAGGTCAAACATTGATAATAGACGTAAACAATAAATGAATTAGAAAGTTTTTAAGTAAAACACAGTAACAATGATTTTAACAAGTGAGTATAAATACTTAATAGTATATTTATTTAAATCAGCAATCGTAGATGAACATGGTTTTACAAGTTCAATTTAAATCAAAATATTTGATCCTTGATTGTAGTATTTTATAGCTATGACGATTTTGATTATATTATGCAAAAAGCGTAATCAAGTCTTAGAGTTCAAATTGTTATAATTAGTAATGATCATCATCTGCGAAAGTTATTTTCTTATTAATAGCTTTATCTTTGAGATAGGTTATATGAACATCTTTGTATGACGTCACATAAACACACGTTACGGGTGAACGTGCCCTACGCGAACGATGTCGTTTTCTTGATTGGGGCTTTTGCGTCATTTGTATGAAAATTGCTCAAAAAGTTGATCTTTAAAGATTTTGTTGCCATGTATGTTGTATTATATTTGTATAGGTAGATGGGGTTTTTGATCTCAAAGTAAAATAGAAAGTGGAGTCTGAGTTGTTTGGTTTATGGAAGTTGTTTCAATTTCTAATGCATGAGGCTAATATTTGACTGTATCGATGTAGTGATTGTTTTTATTGCTTGTTGTGATAGTATGCAAGGAACATCAAACAACTTACTATAATTGCAATAATACTATTCCTTACAGGTATAACATTCTGCTGTCTGATGATTGCTGTTCAGTCACAAGACCCATTTTTTGGAAATTATTTTAATCCAAATCGACTATATTTTTCCGATAATTTTCCCTCAATAGTCCCACTTTCAATAGGTCGTGGTGGGATAGACGATGATGCATTACGAAGAGTATTTGGGAATGAACCACCGAGACAGACAAAACCGACGACCACAGTAGAGATAGAAAAGAGTACTGAGCTGGCGTTTGGTACAAGTGTTGAACAAGTCGATAATTTTGGCAAACAAAATATAATAAGTAGACAAATATCAACCCCATCAATACCGAGTAGACAGACAGCTCAGCAACTTGCTGTAGACAGACAAGACGGGCCTCAAAACACTCCAAACAGACAGGTCTTAGAAAGACAGCGACCGTACAATGTAGCACAAAATAGACCAAGAATACCACAGGAGAGACCAGAGATCTCTCTTGGAAGACCTACGGTAGCAATACCACAATCGGAATTAAACAGACCTGCGGTTCAACAGATATATTTGGGTGTACCAAATTCATTGCAAATACCGAGAGATCGGCCTAGCGTACCGGAGATTTCTCTCAGTAGACCATCAGTAGCTGTACCTCAAAGTGAGCTTCAAAGACCATCTGCACAGTCAAGTTCCTCAACTTTTGACTTACCTGCCCAATCTGCGGGTTTCAACAATTTATTGTATTCAGTGACCAACTTCGGAGTTAATTTGATGAAGGTAAACTTTTTTACTACGCTAAGACAGAATGCCTGTCGCAATACTCTTGCATAAACAAAGGAGAACTTGTATATTTAAAAGATTTTTAATTTTCCTCAATAAGTTATTGTAATATTAATCAATATGTCCATTTGGAAGTTGTGTGGCATATCAATTTTGCGAGAATATTAATATTTATTTCAATTCTTGAAGATTGCCTGCTTTTGTCACATATTGTATTAACAGTGAGGCTGCTAAGTGATTGATCTCGGGTTCAATTTTTAGACCGCTCATCATTTTTGTATTCTTGGTTTCAGAATATTGATACAGTACATTCTGGTAATGCGGTAGTGTCTCCATTCTCAATCACTTCACTCCTGGCTCTATTGCAACAAGGAGCGTATGGAGAAACTGAAGCACAAATAACAAACGCACTGCATATGTCACGCGAGAGTACTGCTTCTTCTTATGCTCGCGTTACTGGAGATATAAAAGTAAGAAACATGATTACAGGAATAATACTAAAATATCATAGAATAGGATTACATGTATGCTTTGTATATTCAATGGTTCAAACTATGGAATAAGGCTAAATATATAAATTTACTAAATCGATAATAATGGGATAAATAAGACTGGAACTACGAAAGTAAAAAATTCAAGTTCTGTAAGTACTTTCTGCTTTTATTGAAAACTGACAGTTATGGTATTCTTAAAACATTATCCTTAACTAGTTAACGTGTGTCATTAGCAGTCAAAGACTTAATATAACCTTTTCGTCTATAGCTTTAGTTCTAGTTACGAAAGTTTAGAGCTATAGTTAGCATTTAGAAATATTCAATTTTTGCCCTGATCTTTTCCAGAATCGCAGTTCCCGTAACGTTCTGAAAGTAGCAAACAATGTGTTTATAGCTGATGCTTTTGCTGTGAATAGAGACTTCAAAAACAGAGCGTCACAGAGTTTCTACAGCGACGTCTCACGCCTGAGCTATAATAGGCCCGAGGAAGCGGCTCGACAGATCAACACCTGGATAGCTTCCAGAACCAATAACAAAATCAACCAACTTATTGCACCAGGTAAATACTAAATTTTCTGCAGACAGATTATTGTAGAAATTTCAACCAACTGTATTAAATGTTCAAAATTCTAATTCAGTCTAAACCAAAAATGTCACTTAACCCAATAAAAAATTTTCATGGCGTGTCAAAAACTAGACAAAATACAAAATCCATTTAGGGCCCATTTTTCAATCATCACTAAATTCTTAACTGTAGAATAAAATTGTCATTTGAATGTTTTTAGTATAGAAGAATTGTTCAAGTCAAAGTTCATTCATCAGTTTAAATTTATTTGGCGTTGAAAAATCGACCCTAATGGTTTTAAAAACAAAAACCTGTATAACAATTGGCAAAATTTGGGTACAATATACGTACAGACATAATTATCTCTACTTACGTTACTCATTATGTGTTTATTTATGAAAGCCGTGGTTTCCCAGGGTCCAAATGAATCATAAGTTCAATTCCTTAGTCAACCGAGGCAAACAAACATTGATTGATCTTCCCAATTACGTCTTTAGGATTATCTCTGATGATGATAAAGGATGTTTAAGAATACATTATTATTAACTTTTACGACCCCAATAATTATAATATTAAATTTAACTTAGGTAGTTATAATCTCACGTCATAATATCTTATTTTATATTCTGCTAAAGGATCTTTCTTAAAGGTTTTGTTGTTTTTCGTTCTATATTTAGACATTAAAAGGAAGCTTGTAATCATAATAATATTCTTATTTTGATTATTATCTTTTTATTTTTTTAAAGAATTAATTTAGTTTGAATGAACAAAGAAACCCAAAGGCGTGTTAGTTATTTTGAGCTCTCAGGACGAGTCATGTTATGCTCATAATATGTTTCCTTTTTCTTTATTACTACTCATGAGAACTCCGAAAACGACGCCCCTTTATTTATTTATTACTCATGCATGAGAAAAACGTCTTAAACCTCCGGGTCACCACGAAATTTTTAACTCATTTCACTTTTATATTGTTTATCATCATTCTTTACAGAATCTATCAGTTTTCTAGTACCACGTAATTAGTAGTTGTTAAATACTTTTTGCACGTCATTAGCTATTGATAAAATTATTCCGTTTACTGTACTTTAGCGTCTCGAGACGCTCCCATAAATAGGATTATAGCGGACGATACCCAGTAGTGACGCATTTCAACCTGTTTGTTATTCTAGATGTTTATTTAGAGAGGCAGTCCTTTATAAAAAGTGCACCTGCCTTTGTAACTAATATAAAATTCTTTGTCAATTCGATGGCACAGATACCTAGGCCTTTGTTTACATTCTTCAAAGTATTGGGATTTTATTTAATTATTTTGGTTGATTTGGAATTGCTCAAAATTTTTAACAAGGAAACAAGAATTAGAAATGCAGATTGTGGTACCGCAAATTATTATTATAATATAAGGTGTAAAAGTTACTGATAAAATGCATTTTAAAAGTTACTGCTAAAATGCAAAATGCACTAATGCACTGTCGGTGAAAGTAGGCTTTTAGCTACGTTATTTTGAATTTTTCAATTATAGTAGTAGCGTAGACTCAACTACAACAAACAAATTGATAGATTTTTAGCCAAAGTACTTTACGTATTGGATTTTGGCTAAAAAAGTATTTTCTTGTGTTACCAATCAAAAACATGATATTATAAGGTAAATTCTACTATTTCCAGGTGCCCTAAGTAGCAACACGCAGATGGTACTCGTGAACGCTATTTACTTCAAAGGTCTGTGGGAGGTGCCGTTTAGAGTTGAATCAACTGTGCCTCGGGAATTCCAACTCAGTAGCGGACAAATAAAAACGGCCCAGTTTATGCGTACGCGCAGGATGTTTAAGACCGGTATGGATCCGACTACTAATGCTAGAGTTATCGTGTTGCCCTTTGAGGTAAGTTGTTATGAAAATATATTTTAAATGGTTTAAGATGGTAATATAACTATAGGTAATAACTATACTTTGATGATCGAGAAATTGCAGATCCGTAATACTGATGATTAACGGGTTTCGGGTTCGATTCCCGGGAATCATATTAGTTATTGGGATTTTCAATTTTAAAATAACCACTAACACGGAGTATGGAATTAGATACATCCCAATTCTAAATAGCCTGCTAAATGAAGCAACTATAACATTTTTGGCAATAGGGGTGTTGCCGTTTATCTGGAAAAGTTTTGTAACTGGACAAATATTTAATTATTTGTAAATAATAAGTAATTAATTAATCATTGTATTTTTATTAGTTGTTAATAATTATGGTTTACTTTACTTACCCATTCATTAATTAATCAATATCTAATTTACACTTTTCCAGCGTGAAGAATACCATCTGATGGTGATCTTGCCGTCGCAACTGGTAGGAATCAGGGGCACAATAGCGTCGCTGACTGATGCGAGGCTGCTGAGCTACCTGAGTTTCTCACCACTTGATACTGAGCTTGAGTTGCCCAAATTCACAGTCAGGGCTGACACAGATTTGAAAATTATTTTACAAACCGTAAGTTTTTACTTTTGTATTAAAATGACACCGAGTAGTCCTAATGATATTTTTTTGTTTACTGTCATTTGTGGTACAGTAATAAAGACTGCCGTTGCTGTTCTAGCTAGATGGCGTTAATGTAGTTAGGTAATGATGTTTTGTTTGTCCAATCGTTGTAGTTGATGTGAGTTTAATGTTCACTAGCTTGACACTACTTAATTTTTATGGTGTGTAAGTATGTACCTTAGTTATCCCTATCGTTACTGGCGGTGGATCCATACATGATAGTTCTCATTGCCAGATTTCGGCCTCAGGGCAGTTCCGCCACATGACACACACAATACTTAAAAAAATATACCGTCTTGTGCATTTTATAGTTCATTTTTTCTGAAAATAAAAGTATAATGGTCCTCACAACGTAAATAATTACTACGGAATTAAGATTTGTCAAGGTCAAAAGACAATTGATAGAAATTAAATTCAGTTGGACAAGATCAATAACACTGGTTTCCTGAATTAGGATTCCGATCCTTATTCCAGATTAGCTAAGTTCCAATATTGTTTGTAATAAGTTGAGGCAGTGTTCTATTTTTATGTGTTGTATTCGGTCAAGTTGCAGGTCTGTCTGCCTTTGCATAGCAAGATAATACTTTGCAACATTTTCTTTATTAACTCGTCGAGTACCGGTTTTATAGACACAATTAAAGAACAATAGGTCGCGGTCACCGGTGACCGCTTGGTGTTTGACAGTTTAAATCTTGAAATTAGGAACGTTTTTGTTATTGAATACTGACAATATTATCGTTTTTTATTGGTTGATGTCAGTTGTTGTGACTTAATAATAATGAAAAGTATCTGCGTTGGAATTAATGAAATAAATGATATGTCATTTTGGTTTTGGACATGTCCAAAAGAAACATGGTACTTATCTGAAATTTATGTTATTATTTATTCTTTAAAATAATAGTGTAAATACATATATAATAATAATATATTATGATCAACATTTTAATAGCGGAAGTATAAAAGGAAAATGGTGTAGGTGTATTAATCATTTCGCATTATTTTTTCAGATGGGCATAACAACGCTGTTCAGCCGATTTAGCGAATTGGCCGGTATTGGATCTTATCAAACCCATTCACCGCAGATATCGTCAGCTGTACATTCAGCCATACTGTCTATTGATGAGCAGGGAGGCTCTGCAGCAGCCGCGACAGCTTTCGCAGCCGTCGCTTTATCTTATGACGATCCTTCTGTGGTGTTCAAGGTCAACCGACCCTTCATTGCCGTACTATGGGACAACAAGAGCTCCCTACCCCTATTCATGGCAAAAATCGAGGACCCCATATACTAAAAGACTCGTAATAAACTACTATAATACTCATTACTACATTAATATTAAGCATCAATAATTTAAGAAAATAAAAACACATATTTTATAATAATGACTATTTATAGAAAAAATATAATTGTATGTAGAATTGGATCTAGTCTAATTTGTTCTTAGAAAATAAAATTATAAGCGTAACGTAATTTTATTAAAGTCTTATTTCTTTTTCTTAAATAGGTTGATGAACCAATCGTCGGCGAATATTCTTAGTTTTCCTTTGTAGTAGGTTTCAATTTGTTGAAGGGAGATTCCTTCTGTTTCCGGCATGAAGAAGTAGAGGTAGATGGTGCCTACGTATGCAAAGGCAGCGTACGTGGCGAAGGCTCCTGTCAATCTGAAATGTGTCTCCAAGTTTATGAGGGTCTTGGTACCGATGAAGGTGACCACATAGTTCCAGGCCGCTCCCCAGCCTTGTGCTGAAGCTCGACTCCTAGAAAAATAAATTTACATGTCATTGTCCTCGCAACATATGAGTTAAAGTAAACATCATGTAACATTGATTGGATCATGATATTCGATAATAATATTGAGAATTTCTTCCTTTAAAGTTATTAAATTCACATTAAAACTACGATCTTACCTGAAAGGAAAGACTTCGCCAAGAATGATCCAAGAGACGTTGAAACCAGTGCACACGGTGAGTATGTAAAAGAATATCAAAGGAACCATACTCTTCTCTTCTGGAAACGTCGTGGAGTCGTAGGAGAACACCTTGTCATCTAGTTGGGTGTGTGCGTATACGCTAAGGCCAGTACAGGAGATAGCCGTGCCAAGCATGGCTGTGATACCCAACTTTCTTTTGCCCAAAGATTTTATAACGCCAATCACGGTGATGCTCGCTAGTAGAGTTATAACGCCCACCATTACCTGAAATAAGTTAGGTTAGTGTAAATAAAAAACGTAAGACAACATCGTTATAAATGATTCATTTTTCTACAGTTATGTTATCAGCCCTGTAAAAATAAGCTCTGAATATCATATTCATATTTTATCAGTTATTTTCTTAACTTGAAAAACCGAGAACTCATACTTAATGAACTGGAAAATTCATTCTCTTATTCCTAGTGTTCACAAGCAGACAGATCACCTGATAGTAATCAATCGGTGCCGTCTATGGATACCCGAAACACCAGAGGTGTTACAAGTCTTTTAAAGTTCAAGAATTTGAGGATTGTTGGGGATTTGGGGATTGGGGAGATTGGGGAGGTTGGGGAAGAGGTAATTGAGCCTTAGACGCAACACAACCAAAATATTGTTTGACGTCGGTTTTCTGTGTGGCCGTGGTATCACTCCGGTCGAGCCGGAAGTAGGAAGTAGGAAAAAACTATCCACGATGCGGCAACGCTGCGTCACTCACTCGTCATCCAAATACACGTATCGTCATTTATAGGCCGCATGTATTCATCAAATGACGTGTCGTGTTCAGTAGGCCATAATCATTTTAAATGGACTTGACAAGAGTTTCAGTTAATGATAGCCGTAACCGCAAACACAAACGAGATATGAAACAATCCATTGTGTTTTATTCTTGAACAACATTGTTAGCAAGTAAGTAAAGATATTATGACAATAGTTACGTGTAAGTATGTGATATTTTAAGCCAAGTAACAAAGGCTAGGCACTCGCTACTGACGTCAAAAGCATAATTTGCTAATGGTAATGTAAAAAATGTGCGAATTTTACAAACAACGAGAAACACAAAAGAGGAGGTTCTCAATACAGTTACAAAAAATCGGTGGATATATATTTTTTGTTCGTTTTAAGTTACTCAAAGATGTCTACTTTTAACTTTGCAAAGGTTGAGATAACAACAGTCGTATCAGTTAGAATCTAACCACAACGATTGTGAAATTATTGCGAGAATTATTTTGTTTCAATAATTCTCTCCCTGTCTACCTCATTGGGGAATACAAGACGTGGTTATATGAGAAAATAATGATGATAATTGTCTTTGGTTGCTTACCACAATATTCTTGCTATCATCAGCCATGCCCATGGCTGAGCAGACGTTCACCATGTTAGGCTTGATGGGCGTGAGGCCGCTCATCACGTAGAATGTGAAGTACAACATCGAAAGACACAAGGGCCTTAGAGTCTCCTTGCAGAGCATCACTATATTAAATTCCACGAAGAATCTGCAAAGAAAAACATGCTTTTTATTACGATTTCAAAAGGTTTTGCAAAAACTCTAGAGGATTTTAATTATTTTTTTCCCTGTCAACAAGGAAAAAGTTTTGTAGATACTGGAAAATATGCTCAATTGGGGTGACGAAAGTGACAGAGTTTATTCAAAGTTAATACAATAAAGTCATGTAAAATTGATAGGGGATCGGTGTTCTAAAGGACATAAAATGAACTAAGAGTAGTAGTCGTATTATGAGTAAAATAAATATGCACCAGTCCTTATTCATGCTATACCTATGCTGACTTTCAACGTATCACAATCCGAATCATATATCTTTAATAAAACATCTTATTTACCTTCTAATACGGTTCATTTTAGAATGATTACATTCTGACTCTGCTTGGCCCTTCTTCCAGCAAATGACACAGCCGTCTAGGTTCTTAGAGTAGACCACAAGTTCGTCAAATTCTTCCTTAACATTGTCTGCTGTGGTCCACCCACGGAGGAAACACAAGGATTTGAGAGCGTCTTTCTCTCGACCTCGAGATAGTAGCCAAACTGGTGTGTCTGGGACCTGGAAAATAACATTTACATTATTCTATCAATGAAAAACTGTATCATAAAGCAGGGTTTAGAGTGCAAAAGTCCTATGATGATTACATTTTTTGGTAAAATTTAGATAGAAATGGAGTTACAGAAGAACAAGTATTACTTACGGCTCCAATCAACACAAGCAGCATTGATGTGAAGGGTATGGAGATGCAGACGATGGCTGCAACACGCCATGTGACCACGGAGCCGAGGAAGTACATCGCAAATACGCCGATGGATAGGAATAACTGGGTGACGGTACACAGGGCACCTCGCACTGATGGCTCACTGAAATGACAAATACAAACACATTAACGTACCTTATGATTTTTAAAAAGGCATAAAACAAATGAAATATCAAAATTTTGAATGAATGTTAGGTTCAAATCCATTTTTACCTGATTTCGCTTACGTAAGAGTTGATAGGTGCTTCCATGATTCCAGTTCCAATGCCCAGAAGAGCATTCCCAATGAATAGGACTGGTACATTCCATGCGAAGTACATGATGATCCAAGCCATGACATGAGGAAGATTGACTAGGAATGTGGCCTTTTTTCTACCAACGTAGTCCACAATCGGACCTGATATTACAGCTCCAAGTGGCTGCGTCAGGAATGAGAGACTACCTAAAGTGAAAAATGATATTTTTTGTTATTTAATAATTTGTACATTATTAATATGCAATGAGCATTACTTCGATTAACTAAACAACCCAAAATCTGGACATAAAATGTTCCGGGTTATACAAAAATATATGGGCACGATATGTTTTCTTACCAAACCATGATGCCTGAGTGTCTGTGAATGAGAGTCCTGTCTTCGCATTGAGTAGGTCGGGTATGACTATAGTGGCGAAACTGATGGCCATACCCAGGTCCAGAAGGAGCAGGTTTGGAGCCATACTGGCTATTAGCTGAAACAATGCCGTGTGTGCATTATAAGTTGGTAAGGTGACTTGGCAAGGAGACAGTGGTTCCATCATGCACGGTACAATTCTACGTGGAATTCATAATTTGGTCTTGTGAGTCTGACAGTAATGCGAGGTTTGTAAACCACCTACAAGTAAGTCCTAGGTATAGTTTTTTTTCTACAACGGGGGATGCCTTCAAAGGGCGCCAAGCCTTTTGGGGAGAAACACTAGGGAGTGTAGGATTTTTACTCCTCTAAAACCACCCCGGTGGCCAGCCTCAGAACCCGTAGGCGATACCGGGTCCTCTAACAGACCTGCCCCGGAGCCCCCACAGTGCAACGCCTGTTGCAGCACGTCCCTAGGGAGATGCGCGTCTCCCTTGAACCTAGCTCAGCAGCGCGTGATCAATGTGTTATCGTCTGAAGCCACTGGGGCCCACCCAGTTAGAGTCCCCACTCTAAGCACCCGAGGCCCCAAACCTAGGTATAATCCTAACTATATACCAAGGATATCCTTGGCCACTAATTTCTAGGTATCCTGTTTTATTATCATTTGGTTAAATAAAATTTACCATCACGTACCAGCGGAACACGTTTAGAAATATCTCATAATCAGTTGCAACATGTGAGTGGCTTTTGTACTGAGTTATACCTATAAAATCTTTGAATAATGGTATCTACTATCGCATATTTCATAATAGTTAAGCTTACTAAGGATTGAGTCCATTTGAATTCATTATATGGTGCATAATGCATAAACCATTCACGTGATCTGATTTGAAATATTTAATAAAAATTCGTTGTCTTCTAGTTTATAGGGAATCCCGTATGTTTGATAGGTACGTGAGTACATTTGCATAGAAAAACAACTGAGTGATGGTCAAATGTTATTTCCATTGGAAAATAAGAATAAAAGGGCAATGGCGATAAAATTGGTCACGTGTGGTACAAAAAACATTAGAATAAATAAGGTAGTATCAAGTTAAATCTACTTTTCTGTAGTTTTGATATATACTCAATTATTACACATGTACCTAAATACGGGCTATAGGGACAGTTATAGTTACCACAAAGAGGTGAAAAAGAAATATTATCACAGTACACACCGTATTAAAATGTCATTTTTATTGCAATTGTATTGTTGATCTAAAAAATACATTTTTTCTGTATTACAGTGTCAAAATACAAAAGACACCTTGAATTAAATAAAAACGTTCTTTTAATTTTATTTCCAGATTGGCTATAGATGATCTAACATACTAAAATCATTAAAAAATCGTATCAAATTGATATTTTAAATGCTTTTTACGATTAACAATCAAGACTAGCTAGATAATAAAATGAAACAATTTATGAATATTGTGTTTGAGTTTTAGGTCAAATCAAGCTGTAATTATGACTTATTTTTATTTTTATGAAAACATAATATTAAGAAAAAGAGTAACTTTTATAAGGGGGAAAATCATCCGATGACTTCTCCCGCCTGGGTGAGATGGGAGGGATTACTGATTAAAAACCACCCTGTTCCTACTTCTGCCCTTCGAGCCGGAGCCCCGGCAACCCTTTAAGTCCTCCGTAGATCGGTATCGGCATCAGCCCTATTGCGGAACGCGACGGCCCGTATGCTCGGGTCTAGTTCTATCCATGTTCGCCGTCCGCAGGCCCGTGTTACGGTGGCCGAAGATAGTCCCACGATCCCCGACACTCGGAGTGTTCTTTGCGACGACTGGATTGTGAGCGCTTCGCTGCGTAATGCGCCCCGCCTCCTCGCTATATAGCATGACTGCTTCGCAAAAGGAGGAGACGGAGAGGTCGCTGTCGCCGTTCACATCCCTGAGGGCACGGCGGTGCTCAGCCGACGCAGGACATACCCCCACCGTGTGTTCCACCGTGTCCTCAGGGCGGTCCTTGCAGTGATGACACCGGGGCGTTTCCTCCCGTTCTATCAGACACAGGAACCTCTCGAAGTACCCATGTCCGGTAAGCACCTGCGTCAGGCCATAGGTGAGGACACTATAACATTTCTCAAGTCACTCCGTAAAGAGGGGACTTACCGCTGCCATGGCAGCGAGCTCAGCCCTCGGCTGCGACAATCATTGATGCCATTCCGCCATGAGATCGCGCCGGAGTTCTTTCTGCCACGCACTAATCTGGCGCAGAAGCGAAGTTTCACCCCAGCAACGAGCCTCCGCGCGCAGGTAAAATTCGCACGCGAACACCTTTGCCTCCAGATCCCACGGCGGTTATCCGTCATGGAGGTTTGCTGCCTCCACAGAGATCGTCGTTGATTGTATCCCCGGATTATTCGGATCACTGTGACCCTCTGAGACGTGAGCAGCGCCCGAGTGGGCTGGGGCGCCGCATCAGGTTCGGCGCCTACACAGGGGCACCGTAGACTGTCATAGACCGCACGACCCCGCATATAGACTCACCCGAAGGTGGCGCTTTTCTGTGGCGCATGGACTTCGCCACGCGCACTACCTCGAGTCCCAGTTGCCGGATTCTTTTGACGACTGTCGCAACTGCTGTCGCCATCAAGTTGGCCGCCGCCTGGAGCAACTTCCTGATGCTGATGTTTCACAGGAGCGGCCCTAGAACCGAACCCTGTGGAACACTGCGTGACATCGCCGGTTCCTCTCGCCCCGGTGACCGGTGTAATCGAGGCCTGCTACCCAGCAGGCCTCGATTACACGACGGAAAAAAGTGAGTTATCCTAGCTTCACAATTAAAGTTGGATTAACAATTGTAGGAAATTAGGAACATCAACGGTTTAGTGTTTTTTTTATATTTTATATAGGTACTTTCCGCACTTTGTTTTACTTTCTGTATTAATGTTAATTGGTTTTTAACTAACCTATTATATTAGCGACACAATCAACAGTGCGTAAACGAAAAGATTAAAAAAAGAAACAGAAACAAAAAACCAGGGAACAAATCCGGTAATCGCGATTAGCTTTATTGTTTTTCTGCTAATTGAACGATGACGATTTTTTGTTTTTTCTCCAACCAGGCTACAATTATTTTTTTCGAGATAAGTCAAGTCTTTATTATCGCTTCTATTATTCTATATACATTTTAAATTGCCTTACATAAATAGGAAAGGCAAGGAACCATAAATAGGGTAAGCAGGTGCTTACAATTGTGTTAATGAAATAAAGCATTGCTTCATTACAAAATAATATGTATAAAAGTTATTTGAAAAAATTTATTATTTGGTTTTTTTTTATTTATCCCTGAAACTGCGTTGAGTACCAATAAGATGATTACGGTTACAAGTGCATTGTACTCGTCCAAAACATGAACCGCTGTCAAGGTGATGGTCGATTATTGCAGTTGATTATCCAAACAATGTAAAGATGACTGTGAGAGAATGACTGTACAGTATAAATACCTACTTATTACATTATGTACTTATATGGTGATTTACTCGACAAGAAGCGATCTTGTTGGGATTATTTGAGTTTTATATTCATTCCTAATACGTACCTCTTATGTCGTTTACAAATACATCCCCTTACCCCGGAATTTTTACAATTCAAAGCTTGGACCAACAATTTTGGAACCCACGGTCAGTTATATGTCAACACATAATAGCTGAACAACAAGTTACAAGTAGTCAAAGGGTAAAACGAATATTTGTCAATATTGAAAAATGTTAGAGGGTCGAGGCAAGTAACTTTCAATATTTGCTTCATATCGCCGAACAAAATGCTTTGGATTGGATTGGCATTGGTTGCCGAAATATCAGGCGATGAAGTATTGCGAAAAAGCATTTAATTAATTTCTTATGGGTCACTAATAAAGTTGTTGGGTTTATTATAGTAAAGAAAATTAGGTATTGGATACAAAATAAATAAATAGGTACTCACTTGTGCTGATACAGATCTTATCCTACTCACAGGCACTGGGACATTTTTCATATCTGCTACTACGTACACCATTTTTAAATTATTTAAACTAACTAATAACCAACTTATTTACAATTAAAAATTATTTAAATACTACTAATTACACTATCATATTTGTAAAAGTTTGAAAATTAATTAAATATGGATGACATCTCGAACGCGGGAAAATATTACTGTTTTTTTTTCTTTGTTCGCAGGGCAGTACACGCTTGCCGCGTTCAGCCAAGTTATGTTGAATGTCCTTCTTGAGACAAAACGTGAATTATTTAACGGACCGATACTGAATCATATTCAGTGCTGCTTTCGGTTAGTAGATGTTAGTAGACGAAGTGTTCATTAACTTATTCAAAAAAAAAAAAATTTAGTTAGCATTTAAGTAGACAGATACATGTTTAACAAAAGATGCATTTCATGTCAAAGTATATAATACTGTTAGTAGTTAGTACCTAAATGATATTTAAAAATAAAAATTTCCATAATCACCATTGGGCAGGTGAACTTTAATTAGTTTTTAATTATGCTTCATTTAATTTAAATTAGAAATAAGAGATTCGTGGAAGCAAGAGTATCGATATTTTGTTTAAAATTACAAATTTGTCGTACAATAAGTATTTTACAGAACCTTAACCTAACATATTTACCTAAGGCAGTGCAGATAACATAAAAAATAGTAGTAGAGAAACAAACTGAACAACAAACAAACTGACCTTTCGAAACAAAATACAAGAATTATTTTGTTTAAAGAACATGTTTAAAGAAACCGTCTTCAACCCCCTCTTTATTGGAAGTCGGTTAATATATTAACTCGTCGAGTACTGGTTTTATAGACACAATTAAAGAACAATAGGTCGCGGTCACCGGTGACCGCTTGGTGTTTGACAGTTTAAAACCTCTTAAGTGTAAGAAACACTTTTCTGAAAACCGCATCAAAATCGGTTGAAACAATCGCGAGCTAATCGCGCAAACGTATCCTGTATACGTGTGTGTGTGTATGTTTGCGACCGAGAAAATGATCAAATAGTTATAACATTCCTTTTTAAATGACTTCTTTTATAATGGAATATAAATCCAATTAATACTGACTGGTAATTATTTGTTTTAATTTATTCTCACATAAAGACATACCTAATTAATATTGTTTAATTTATGTTGATTTAATTGAAATTAAATTAATGTACAGAAGTGACACCTAGTAATGTTTCTCTATCCTTTAAGTAATGATTTGTGTATGTTATAAGTAAATAAATAAATTTTAGTTTCAATCCAGACTTAAGTAATTACAAGAAGTAATATTTACATCAACATCATCAACAGCCTATAAATGTCCACTGCTGAGCAAAGCCTCTTTTCACACGGAGCAGGTTTGAGCATTAATCACCAAGCTTGCTCAACGCGGGTTGGCGATTTCAAACTTATAATTAGAAATTATAAGCTCAGGTTTCCTCACGATGTTTTCCTTCACCGTTCGTCAGTGGTATGTAAATAATCTAAGAAACTACATATAACTCCAAAAAAGTTACATTGGTACTTGCAGTTGGTAGGTTTCGAACCCGAACCCTTACGGCTTAAACTGTCAAACACCAAGCGGTCACCGGTGACCGCAACCTATTGTTCTTTAATTGTGTCTATAAAACCGGTACTCGACGAGTTAAGCATGAGAAGTGGGTGGCTTAAACGTCCGGGCTACCATGACACTTCCAATGTACCGACACCTAGTAATACTTATAATATTGTATACTTACCTATAACATTGGTTCAATTAATGTTGATTTATTTTCAAAATAACGTCATTATTATTTTTATGGAATAAGCCGGTAAACGAGCAGACAGATCACCCGATGGTAAGCAATCGGCGTACACCTGGAACGCCAGAGGCGTCACAAGTGCGTTACCGGCCTTTAGGGATTAGGAGTTTGAGGATTGTTGGGGATTCAGGGATTGGAGAGATTGGGGAAGGGGGGGGGGTGATTGGTCCTCAATCATTGGGACTAAATTAAACGGATCCTTAATCGATGAGCTTGTATAAAGAGATCGATTTGATGAATGAAGATGAAACGAAAGAGTCGAGTGATTGCTAGTTTGATATAGGTATATTTTTTATTTAATTTCTAGTCAGAATAGTCAAACAAAAGAAAATATATGAAAAATCATAGGAAAAATTGAGAAGTTTTATATTTTTTTGTTGTAAGGTCGGCCTTTCATAAAAACAATGAAAGTTAAAAATTGATTACATTGTCAAGAAAAATTACATGTTTTATTGGCTATTGTTATTCACAGTACTTATTCAGTACTTATTCCCATGTTAATTAAGACAATATGATAATATCTTACCTAAATATAAAAAAAAAATAAAGTACACATGAGGTAACCACGTGAATTTAGTAGCAGATTTATGTTTAATCAAAAATTACCTAATCAAATTTAATTTTCAGTGAATATCCACTAAATTCATGTATTCGCAACTACTAAATGCTTCGCAAAAGGAGGAGACGTCATCACAGTCCCCCTCGCTCCGCATCATGACCCGCACTAGGGCCGAACGCGAGAGCTCGTCGTCGCCGATCACGTCACTGAGGGCACGGCGGTGCTCAGCCTACGCAGAGCATTCCCCTACTGTGTGTTCCACCGTGTCCTCAGGGCGGTCATGACACTCAGGCGTTTCCTCCCGCCCTATCATACACAGGTACCTCCCGAAGCTCTCATGTCCGGTGAGGACCTGCGTCAGGCGGTAGATGAGGACGCCGTAACGTCTCGCAAGCCTCTCAAAGAGGGGACTTACCGCTGCAACGGCAGCGAGCCCAACCTAGATAGTGCAGGTACGTAATAACTTGTTTTAGTTGAAAGCTATGAACAGGATACATGTATATTATGAGGTTAACAGAACAGAATAATAAAACTAAACTACTAATAACTGTACAATGGCCATTTACGTTAAGCGTCCTGGTGACCCGGAGGTTTAGAACGCCCGCTTCTCATGTATGAGGGTGCGGGTTCGATACCTACCAACGGCAAGTATCAAAGTGACTTTTTCCGTCTACTTTCTAAGATTATTTTGGAATCACTGACAAACGGTGGAGGAAAACATCGTGAGGAAACCTGGGATAAAATATGTAGTTATAGATTTGAAATCGCCAACCCGCAATGAGCAAGCAACAGGGAGAAATTTTGAGCATTAATCATCATTAAATTTAAATTAATAAAATTTCTCCCTGTGAGAAGAGGCCTTTGCTCAGCAGTGGGCACTTAAAGGCTGTTCAAGTAATATGATGATGTGACCATTTACTATCAGTAGAGTAGTACTTTTTGTGCTACATGGTTGTGGTTCAAAATGATAAAGAGTAAATCTAGTACCTACGCAGCATTTAACATAAAATAAACATCGAACTGGCATTTTCCTGGTTTCAATTGACAGAACGAGGATATCTTCGAAGATAACACTTTTAAAAGAATATTATTTCTACAATAAAGATTAGGTACATACTGAGATGCTATGTCAATGCCGAGTTACCTTTAATATAATTATGATTACCTGTCGCTACATCCTTAAGCCTGACCCACTTTACGTTATCAGGTTAAAAAATCTGTAGGTAATTTGGTTGGCTTAATTCTAAGTACATATAAAAATATTAAGTACTTAATCCATACGACTTATAAAATATCTTCACATTATTATAGCCAGATTGTCCAACGCTGGAAATATTTTGCAAGTCATTTGCACCGAAGTTTTGGATCAAAGTTGGTGCATATTTATAAGTGTGAAGTCAATTCGTGTTTTTATGAGGCGGCAGGTAAGATTTAACCATATTTAATTTTATTTGAGGCATTTAGGTACACCTTTTTATGAGAGTTACATCACAGACGATAAAAACTTGAAAGTTCATTAACGTATTTATACATCTGTTGGTGGGAAAGAAAACAGCTTGAAAAAGGAAGTTTCATAAGTAAAAAAAACGAAGTTGAAGGAAATTGTTGAAGAAAATAAAATCAACAAGGGTGTGTATACTGCACTGCAGAAAGAAGAAATCATGTTAGTCGGTCTTCATGTAGTGACAGGTCTCATCTACCTCTATATATATATAAAAATAAAACTCGTTTCCCGTTGTCACGCCATAACTTGAGAATGGCTGGACCGATTTGGTTGATTTTTTTTGTTGTTTTTGTTTTTCTCAGGGGAAGGTTCTTATGACAGAAAAATATCATGAAAATCTTACAGGAACGGGAGAAACCGGGATTGCGCGTACGAAGTCGCAAGCAAAAGCTAGTGACCAATAAAAAAGATTTGAAATGATGTCGCATATAAAATGGTGTAAGCTTAATATACATAACAATATTTAAGTACGTCGTTATGTAGTTAAGTACGTGACTGGTAAAATCCTATTCGCATTTCAACTATGAACGTTTAGGTACTGTATACAATAGTATGTATAATTGAAATGAAGCCTTGAAATGAAGAACACCTAATTAGCAACACCAATGATCGTGATGAATAAAAAATGACAAGTGATTTGTTAAAATTTATAAAGGAAACCATTTTTCATATACACTTGGTTTGACAAAAGGGTTAATACAAAATTTATAATTCATGAATGGCAGAAGTTGTAATTACATGATACATACATAGAATAACAATGTATCGCGTAATAGATTGTAATTGATGTCGAATAAAATTCACTTTTTATTTTGGAAAATATTTTTTATGTGATTATCACAAAACTTCATAATTTTTAAGTAGTTAAACGAAATTATAAAGCACTAAGAAATAAGAATATTCTAGTCTTAGGACACGAAGGTGTGTGTAGTTGTGACTTCTGAATCAATATAGTTTATGACTGCGGTGAAAAAGTTATAAATATTTTATTGTAATTGAAAATCAACAAGTTACAGTCGTTCCATTACAAACAATACTAACAATGTTTTGATAAAATGTTGTTATTTGTTTTGTTGGGTGAGACATTTTTTATTATATTCTCTGTGATGCTCAGTATCAGTAGCAAATTAATGCAACGATTTTCAAAAATGAGTTAAACAGACGTATTAACAAATGAAGCTTGATAATAGATAAGGAACAAATAAACATTTTTGTATTGATCACAAGTAATTTAGGATATTCAAGTGTAGGAGAGCCATGCTACAGTATGAATGGGCTGGCCGGAGTGATACCACGGCCTCACAGAAATCCGACGTGAAGCAATGATTGCATTGTGTTTCGTCGTGTGAGTGAGGTTACCAGAGGCCCAATCTCCCCAATCCCTGAATACCAAATAATCCTACAACTTTTAAATCCCCAAAAGGCCGGTAACGCACTTGTAACGCCTCTGATGTTCCAGGTGTCCATGGGTGATCCGTTTGCTGGTTTACCGGCTTATCCCATAGAATATTTTTTTTCAGAATTAGGACAGATGTAATATCTAAAGAAATACTTATGTGTTGATCTGGTGAACCGAGCGTAGAACTGCGTATTGCTTGCCAAACAATTTATGATAAACAAACCCAGAGGGCGAAAGAAGAAGGACTTTATGTAGTAGTGGACAATGAGGAATGATAAATAATCTATTTTCTCTTTTTTCAGTTTTTACCTCAGTAGATTTGACACAGCAGCATTTGGTTTATGTGAGTCAATTATTTATTTATTTATCTTCTTGAATTCAATAATGTAAATTATCTGATATTACCTAACTCTTAAAAATGCATTGTCCAGATTCTTAGATTTTATTAACTGGCAAGGCGTGGGAATTTTCTTACTTGAGTAATAGTTATAGCATTTTAGTACTTACATTCAAAATCTTGTGTCAGAATTAATTTTCTTCACGTGTTTACCAGTATTCATTCGTTTTCTTTTCAGCCAATCAATTACTGCAGTTTGGCATCGGTGTGTGTACACGACAATCGTATGGTATGCGCAGCCACTGAAGATGGGTGCGGTCGGAAGACATTCCTCGACCAGTGCGACATGTATGAATATAACTGTGATTTCGGTGCACGTATGTATCAATTTTGCTTTAATTCTTCAATTTACAATATGTGTTGCTATTAAAACAAAGGGTTTCAGTATCCTAATCGTTGTATAATAAATCTCTTTGTACTTTTTTACGTATTTGATACACTGTGATGCTATAAATTAATTAACCTTTGTTATGCATTTTACATTTTATTATTATTTCCACTTGATTTAAAGTTCAATAATTCAGTTTATGAAAATGTTTCCTCTATTGTTCATCCAACATTTTTACTTGACAAAGCTGTAACCGTTAAAACAAAAACTAAGTACCCAATAACGAAACGTACTCAACAAACAAAAACTGGCAATTAGTCAACGTTCAGTTAATTTGTAACAGGCACACACGTGATGAAGCAATCTTTTGAAAAGCACATGTCCTCAAAACAAAAGGCTACACGTTTTTTAAACTATAATTATGCAAAAAATTATGATAAACATACCTTATTAGTTAATTTGTAGATTTTGTATTTTTTATTATCATTTGGAAATAACAGAATTGGTGTTCAATTGCCCCGGATGTAGGTTTAGGTACACGAAACGACACCCCGCGTGATTGACTGCTTTCTAAAATGTAACATTGTGGTGTACTAACACGTTTAAATGAGCGTGGACTAAACAGTTCACATGGCGTAGGTTTTTGATTATATTGTTTGTTATTATTTTTATAAAATTCAAATTTCATGGTACCGTGAACAAAAACGTTAGGAATAAAAATGGTTTTGGAGTAAAACTACAGATAAAATATTAATTTTGGTAGTAATGTTTTATCTGTCCTATTTCAGGGTACAGAAAACACACGGGTCCACCGAGTAACTCTTGCCCAGGTGGCCAACAAGACATAGCTTGCAATATATGAACGAAGATAGAAAAGTATTTTAATAAAATAATTAAGCATTTCATCCTTTGTTTTACTCCACATTTTTATTCTTAACGATTTGTTTAAGACATTATAATTAAAACGTTACCTATTATAATGTTTATAAATTTTCAGGTTATCGGGAAACCTACAGCGTATTTTGTTTAGGTCCGGAATTAGATATAAGCGACCCACTCCCACTCTCTTTTCGTCCACCAACAACATGTAAAACCGCACTAGACCACAACAGGCGTAACTTTGTACCGAACAAGACACCACAACATGCAGGCATATCTATACAGAGACGTGTAGGTACATCAGCTTTGCCATCAGTGCCTTGTGAGAAGTGTGTGACGACAACGTGGCCTAGACAAACAAAAGAAGTTGATTACCATTTCTTACAAAAAATGCCGTTGAAGTCACTGGTAACGAGAGCACCGCCGCCATGGATACCACCGAAGCCAACATGGCCAGCACCACCGATACTAACACCACAAATTTCATACACTTTGCCATTTAATCCAGAACAGTATATAGATATTGCTGCAAATACAATAGGAGACGCGACATATTATTTTCCATCGAGATATACGCAAGTAACAAAAGAGACTACCGAAGATGATGACTTTCTTGAACATCCAGACGAAGATGTTCAATCATTGGTAGACATAAATGATCACATTGGCGCACTGAAACCGACAACTGAAGAATATAAATTGGTGGAAGCGTTACATGCCTCTACCATTGAAACACTCAGTCCTGAACTGAGAACCAAGTATATTGAGGCTTCTGAACAAAACTTTAAAGAAAACAAACTAGAAAATCTACAGACACATCGACGAGTTTATTCACCAGAACGCACCTTTGAAAATGAACAATCATTTGATCAAATGCAAAAACACGATCGGTCTTTGGAAGAAGAGTTTAAATTTATTAATTTTCTGGATCCTGAAAATCCGATGACAACACAATTAAATTCTTATAACATACAAGCACCGCAAACTGTAGCACAATTCATACTTCCTCCTCAGGTGAAAAGTCATTACTTACAGGTTCCACCGGCAAAATCTAACAACTTGTCAAAACTTCAAAAGCATGCACAATATATTCACTTCAATGAATATAACTTACTAGATCATTATCCCGATAATATACCTATATATAATTCGAAACGAACAACATGCCAATGCAATACATGTAATATGAAAGTGGATGCGCATAAACCGACAATAAAAACATTTCCAAACTATAAAACCTCTTTCGTAAATTTTAACAACCTTACTCCTAGACCAGCCGACGACGTAAATCTGAATACTGTAGATTTCGAACTGTGTTGCGATGATAGACCTAAAACTTGGAAAACGACGAAAAATTTCTTTTTTACTTCATCACCTAGGATGACAACAATGATACCAGATAACGTTGAGACCACAACAACGTCTAAGCGGGATACAGAATGTAAGCTGAATAGTTTGGATTAGTTAGTTTATTTAACTTAAAATCAATAGTTTATTACTTCTGAAATTGATAATGTTTTCATTATTGATGGATGATTATTATTAATAATGGAACGTTTTTACAAAATAATAATGTTAGGACACATGACAGCTTTATACATCTACAATTTCAGAGCTAATATTTTGTTGTACCTAGATGTAGTGATTTCAAAAGAAGTTGCTGTTTTTGTGGTTCTTAAATTTTGGTTTTTCTAAAATACGCGTCTTCAAATATTTTTACTGTGGTTCGATAGCGAGGATTCGATGAATCACAAGTGCAATATAAATTGAAACGACTCACATATTTAAAGCAATTTTAGAAACATAGAAACAATATTTTTTTTATTAAAAAAACAGCAACTTCATTCAATCTCGACCCTGTTTCTTTAACAAAATTTCTAGGTAACAAGGTCGATTCACTACTGATTTAAAAGAAACAAATACAACAAAAGCTGTATCATCAATATTGCTTAACTTAAATAATGAATTTAAAAGTCACTAATTACTTTTCTTTTTTTTCCGGAACAGCTTCATTACCAATAACATCTTCTAAAAAACCGGAGACAACAATAAGTACAACAGAGAGAATCAGAACTACATCTGTAATAACAACCACAAATAAACAATCGGAGAGCACCTTCAGTAATGAACCAACTACGGTGCCAAGTGAAATACCTACTACTTCAACATCCACTACTGCTAAACATACTACTACAATACCTACGACTACAAAAACTACTACTAAGCCTACTACAACTTTAACTACAACTACTACTAAGCCTACTACAACTACTACACTTTTAACTACTACTACACCTGCAACTACAACAACAACAACTACTACTAAAATTACTACACCTTCAACAACTACCACAACAACAACTACTGAATCTACTACAACAACAACAACAACAACAACAACTGAACCTACAACTACAACAACAACAATTGAACCTACTACTACAACAACAACAACTGAATCTACTACAACCACAACTACTAAACCTCCTACAATAACAACTACTAAACCTACTACAACAACAACTACTAAACCTACTACAACAACAACAACAACAACAACTGAACCTACCACAACAACAACAACTGAACCTACTACTACTACAACAACAACTACTACTACTGAACCTACTACCACAACAACGACAACTACTGAACCTAGTACAACAACAACAACGACTGAACCTAGTACAACAACAACTACTACTGAACCTACAACAACAACAACAACTACTGAACCTACAACAACAACAACAACTACTACTGAACCTACAACAACAACAACAACTACTACTGAACCTACTACCACAACAACGACAACGACTGAACCTAGTACAACAACAACTACTACTGAACCTACTACAATAACAACTACTACTGAACCTACTACAACCACAACTACTGAACCTCCTACTACTACAACAACAATAACAACCACTGAATCTTTTACAACCATAACAACTACTACTTCTTCTACAACCACTACGACAACAACCAAACCAACTACTACTAAACTAACAACAACAACCACTAAATCTACTATAACTACAACTAATACACCTTCAACAACTACTAAACCAATTACAACTACAACTATACCTTCCACGACTACAAAAGCTCCTACAACTACTAAACCTTCTACTACAAGAACAACAACTACTAAGCCTACTACTACACCTACCACTACAACATCTACTATTACTACTACTACTAAATCTACCACTACAACTATAAAACCTACTACTAGGCGATTAACTACCACGAAGCGTACTACTACACGTGCTACTACGATTCCTCCTACTAAACGAATACCAACTTATTATCATACTACGCCATGGTGGTATCCAACGACATGCAAAAATATAAATTGTGACAGACCTATCACATGGTTCACAACAAGGAAATCAAGAAAACGCAAACACTACAGGTATAATGAAAAATGTATATATACTAGTAAATTTGTATTTCATGAATATATATTGTTTGGACTTACATTGTCATTTTTATTACAAGTCCAGTCCAATTTTTTCCCGTCATATATTTGTCGTAATACTATTAATAATAGTCGTACTAGTAGTAACACTAAAAAGGTTCCTATTAACAAATATTAAAATTAATTATATTTTTTCAGGCTACAAAAGAATATGTGGTAATAACATATTCTCAAATGACCAACATTATTCCAATATTTTGGATAACATAAATATATATCCAGACTCAGACTATCTTGAAAATGAAGATGAAACAAGTACATCCGAGAATAACTGCGATTGTAACCGTCACTTATCACCATGTGATAGGCCTTCTACCTGGCGTACCACATTGGAACCAAATGTACCAACAAAAACTACATCAAAGTCTACAACTCCAAGATCTACGACAATTCGGCAAACCACCGAAAAGTCAACGAACTACGTTACTATACCAACCGTCCCTACTTATACCAGTACTGAACCAACTGTGCCTTCTTCTTCTCATTCCACTACCACTACCAGGACAACAACTACTACAACTGCTGCTAGAACAACTACTGATATCTTTTTTCCTACTACTACTGAGCCTTATACATTTTATCCAACTACCACGACAGAAAGTCCAACACATAAAACAACTACTACAACCGCTCCAACAACAACTACTACAACCACTGCTAGAACAACTACTGATATCTTTTATCCTACTACTACTGAGCCTTATACATTTTATCCAACTACCACAACACAAAGTCCAACACATAAAACAACTACTACAACCGCTCCAACAACCGCTCCAACAACAACTACTACAACCACTGCTAGAACAACTACTGACATCTTTTATCCTACTACTACTGAGTCTTATACATTTTATCCATCTACCACAACAGAAAGTCCAACACATAAAACAACTACTACAACCGCTCCAACAACAACTACTACAACCACTGCTAGAACAACTACTGATATCTTTTATCCTACTACTACTGAGCCTTATACATTTTACCCCACTACCACAAGTCCAAGAGATGTAACTGATGTGACAACAACAGTGTCCACAGCTACAACCACTCGTAAAGTAACTAAGTCACCAAAAATAACGACCCCAATTAAACGAAATTATGGGTATCCGACACACCCTTGCCAGTTTTTGGGATGTGATAGACCTCATTCATGGCTTATAACTACGAAACGCAAACGATTAAAAAAATATCTTCATTAATGTATAGACAAACTGTTTTTTTATTTATTAAATAAGTTAATTAAAATATTATGTGTTTCATTTAATTTATATAGTAACAGGTAACCTATTCTTCTATTGGTTATCTGTAATACTGGTTATTGATTAATCCATTCCATTCCATATCATTCCTTACCATTCCATACCATTCTATACCATTCTATGCTATTCCATACCATACCATTTTAAATTGTATTATTGAAAATATAGTTTATGTAGAGTCATATTCCTATACTTACGTAAACGATAGATGTGCCAGATCATGTCAATACATTCATAAGATATCAAGCACTGCTTATTCGAGGAGCGGAGGTGTCCTAGATTAAAGTACCACAAATTTATGACCAGTTATGATTCTGAACAGAATTCCAAACTTTGTAATTTGAGCGTATTTTTTTTATTATTAATTTGCCCTAGTTGAGAATCACGGAGATCGTTTGTAACCATTTGACTAACAATTAGTTTTATTAATTCATTCAGTAACAAATAGTAGTAAAGATTCATGTAATTTTGTTATATTTTTTTTCAGGATGTGAAGAAGTTGAGGTAGATGAAAAAAATACCACTTCTGATGAAAATATTACTAAAGCACCAGTAGAAAATAACACTCCATCTGAAAATAAAACTGATGAAACACCTGCACGACCTACCAGTGGTAGAACGAAAAGTATTAATGAGATTCCGAGGAATGATGAACTTTGTGAGACTAATCCAAATTTAAAGAATAATTGTGTAAGACCAAAGACATGGTTGACAACTGTTAAAGGTGAAACTAGAGATTTCTTTAGAATTCTGATAACCTCAACACCCAAATAAAATGTTTCATAATAATGACTGTTGTTATAATTTATAATGTTACTTATAGTATTTCTTAGAAAGCACAGTTAGGATGATAGCTCTGCAAAAAGTATCAGGCGCTTTAACCTTTTACGCATATTTTTAGATTTGAAAAGTAGTCACATAAATAATCAATTTTGACCTATAATGGAAGGACGATGAACAAAACGAGAAAGGTAATGAAAACAATTTATTTTATAGAGCAACAGTATTTACAGTAACACGTGAATGCCGTGCATCCACTGCGTATAAATCACGATCAGCCTCGATCCGAGGCTCTCATGGTTATTATAACTACATTCATATATCTAGGTAAGTAGTAAATAAAATATTTTACCTAAATCTTAAACATAATGGCAAGCATTTGATCGGTACTAATCCCAAAAATATTTCGCCTTATTACTTTGAAAACAGTTGAAGACACTTATTTAAAAGTGGTGGAATGTTGATGAAGTTTTATGTTGTTTATTATTGTAGTCATATAGAAATGATACGAATCGAGCAAAGAATGATAACAAGAATATTATATAACCGATATGTCTTTTTAATAAAAAATATCCTTTAGAAATATGAATATTTTGGGATAGTGGATACTATTAATAAATACAAAAATTACATATTAGTATATTTGTACAAATCAACTTAGTACTACGAACGAACAATTTCTTGAATAAGAAACAATTTTGCCAAAGCAAACATCTAACCTAAACACAATATCTCTTTTTACGTATACTTATTTAATTGATATCTTTCTACGACTTTGAATGATACTAATACCTGTACAACTCTTACTGATATCAGATCAGTTGAATTAAAAGAAGAAAATCTAGTTGAAACACTTGTAGTAGAACCCAGTCGACAAATGATGACTATATTATCAATATAATGTCGGTCAGTATCACTTCGAACTCACGCATCATCTATCAAATCATTAACATTCGTCTATCTAAGAATTTCAATTAATTGTTTTGACTAGCATCGGTTTATCAGCATCGCTGCTTACGACTTTCTTCTTCCTGAAAGCGTTTATTAAGAAATCATCAGCGAATATTTTTCTATCACTTTTGTAATATGCTTCAATTTCGGCTAAAGTCTTCTTCTCAGTTTCTGGTAAGAACAAATACAAGTATATTGTTCCTATGAAACCGAATATGGCATATATACCAAATGTTCCACTTAGGTGGAAAGCATATTCAATATTGTAGTTAGTTTTAGCTGCACCGAAGTAAATGATGTAGTTTGATGCAGCTGCGAGGGCCGTGGCGATACCGCGGCTCCTGGAAGATGATTAAGTTTTATTTACAACGGTGTAATGAATACAGTATATCAATATGATTCAGAACGTAAGTCAAAATGAAATAGACACTTGTCTAATGATGATAAATTTATATACAAATATTAGGATTCTTTTTAAAGTTAAAATTAGTATTTCCAAAACATTATTATAAAAAAGACACACATACCGGAATGGAAAAACTTCGGACAATAGCACCCAAGGGATTCCAAGTGCGTTGAAGAATATGAGTGATAAGAATAAGACGACAGGCAAGAGTTCCTTCTTGTCAGTGAACGTGTCGATCTCGTAGGAGAAGACGCTGGAAGGAAGGTTCATACGAGCGTAGATACCGATGGCCATGCTACAGCAAGCTGTTCCCAACATGGATCCAACGACCAGCTTCCTCTTCCCAATAAATCTGACTATAGCAGCTGACAGTAAGCTTGTTACTATGAAGAGAGCGCCAATGATAACCTGAAAAATATGGGATTTATGTTTATGTAAATATTTTTGTATTGGACAGTGAAAACTTGTATGAAAGTTGCATATATGATTAGATTTAGTTGATTTTGGCAAAGATAATTCGATGTGATGGGGTGATAGGTATCATCTTTTTGATCAATGTACTTAATTTCATTCTATGGCAGCTAAGCTTATTCAATGGTATACACCATGATGTAAGCTTCCATATGAGATATAATTTATCACTGTTGAGCGATGTAGAAAATAAACTGACCAATGTGCCCATTGATCAATCAGAAAATATTATTTAGGTAAATAAAATAAGTGAAACCAAGAGCGATGCATAAGGGGGTAAAGTTTTGAATTCAGCCCTTGAAATTAATTCAAAAATGCATTCTTCACATGTTAATCACGAACCTAATCTAATTCTGGTATTACAAAAATAAATAGCTGTATAATAAGGTCATCAAGATTTCATCTTGAATCTTCAATATACAAACAAGTGCATAATTTATATTGTAGCAGTGAGAATCTACCTACGTAATGTGCTCGTTGAATATAAATCTGTAATTTACCGAATTATATAAGAGCGAGACAAACGTGTGACATTCATTAACATAATACATAAACATCAGGCATTTAATCCCCGAAGGGGTAGGCAGAGGTGCACATTACGGCACTTAAATGCCCACTTTCCACTATTTATGTCACGAGTCCTATGTAATAAGGGGAGAGCTTATTGCCATATACCGGGCACAATTCCAGACTCCGTGTTACTAGTGAGATTCTTTTTTTAAATCCCATTAGTACTTTGCCCGACTCGGTAATCGAACCTAAGACCTCTTGCCCGGCAGTCGCACTAGCGAACACTTGGCCAATGAGGCAGTCGGTCGACATTCATTAAGTATGTATGTAGAACACAAGCATAATTCAAGTTAACATAGAATTTCATGATTATAGACATTTGAAATGTGCAACACATAGTTATGGAATAGGGTAAATTTGGGTTCGACAGGGTTTGAAAAATTCTACGGACACAACAAAAAGAGATAGAATTTACTTGTACGAAATTGTCAAAACAGTTGATGAGGCAATAAGATTTTTTTTATTATATTTGATGAGCCGACGTTTGATCACTATCTCGCCTGTTGGTAAGCGATGATGCGGTCTACGATGGATCACGTCGACCCATAAGCAACCTTATTAATAACCTGAAGTAATAAATAACCTAATTGGAATTCTATAGAGAATACTATTTTAATATAGTTACTTACAACAATATTCTTGGGGTCATATTTCATTCTTAAGGCTCTGCACACGTTTACCATGTTAGGCCTCACGGGCACAGCTCCACTCATGGTGTAAAAGAAGAAGTACGCTAGCACCAACATAAACGGCTTCATGGTTTCTTTAACGAAGAATACGTATTTTATTTTTAAAATAATCTTCTTGAAAGAACTTGTGTCGTAATGTTCGCATAGTTCCAAGATCTTTCCTTCTTTGGCACATAGCACACATCGTCGTAAGTCATCGTGGTATTGTATCAGTTCATCAAATTCTTCTTTCACGTGTTCTGGCTTTGCCCAGCCACGGAGACGACATAGGGAATTCAGAGCTTCTTTTTGACGGCCCTTCGATAGCAGCCATATTGGAGTCTCTGGTACCTGGAAAACAGTGGATTTACGTGTTTAGAAACAGTTTGACATTATCAATCAGTTTGCAACTTGAGGATCCAGACAGTTTGAGTACATTTTGTATCTTAGCAGATCTTACCTATAGTATGAGCAAGTATTATGGTTTATCTAACGTGTAGTTATTCATTTATAATTAAAACAATTACATTATTATTATTATAGTTGGCCAATGTTAATGTACATCGTAAATATTTCTAAAGGAGCATCGTTGTACTAGTTATTAATATAGAGAATGTTTGTGTGAAATTATTATGCTACTGTTTGTGTTCTGTTATCAGTCATAATAAAACATTCCGTAAGTAGTTCATTGTTCATTATTTTCATTTTTGTTCTGATAAAACAGATGTTTTAATTAAATACTGGTTATCCATACAAAGTTTAGATTAACTTGGAATCAATGACCGTTAACATAAACAATTTAGGGATAATTAATAAGTATTCGTTATTGTAACGATTTGCTGTGGTTTTCTTACTATGTATTTTGTTGTTATAATTTGAGAAAAACATAGGACATGGAAAGTTCCTAAATTCTGTTTGATATACCTTACGGCTGTATTACATAGCCATAAGCTAAAGGAGATAATCAAGGTCATGAGTTCTGCCTTGTATACAATATTAAGTATCATCTTTTTTGTCACTTAACAAAGTAAAATATTTAATATAAGAATAGGTACTTTGAAACTTAAAACAAACATAAATTAAAATGAACATATACTATACGGAAGCTACATGTGGATAAGTGAACAGCCTCCAAAATTTGACCGATACAGTTACCCAACGACTCCTGAGGTCAAGGCTGAGATGTAGCACGAAGGTAATCTTATTTATTTATTGTGTTAGGAAAGGAATTTGATATAATAAATTCTATTCAAGTATTCATGCGTTTCGTTTTTGGGTTGTAATGTGAATGTGACATGCGATATTCTGTCACCTTCCGATTAGTCATTTCATTAATGTTTCATTAAGATAATGTTCTGTCCATAGATACTTTAATACTTCTCTTTATATTTCTCGACAGAAAAGCGTTTATGTTATTAAGATATATATATTTTCAGAGACTGTCGTATGGCATTAGCGAGACCGCTGCTGTATATCTACAATCTTTGCCTCAAAACATCAGAGTTTCCGGAGATGTGGAAGATTACCCGAGTCATACCGGTGCCGAAGGGAGGTTCGGGAACTAAAGTTGAAGAATACAGACCGGTTGCAATATTGTCAACTATGGCTAAAGTGTTGGAGTCAAGTATTTATGCGAATGTTTATCGGCAAGTTAGCGTGCAACTCACAGATGCGCAGCATGGTTTTCGGCCAACTAGAAATACCACCAGCAACCTACTTTGTTACATGGCAGATGTGGTACCAACAGTGGACAGTGGGGGGCAAATCGATGCTGCATATTTTGATTTTAAAAAAGCGTTCGATTTGGTTGATAACGACGTCTTACTTAAAAAATTAGCTGCGGTCGGTTTCACTCCACACTTGCTTAAGTTTATTGCGAGTTATATGAGTGGCAGGCAGCAGTATGTTGACTACGCAGGGCATCAATCGAACGCTTACTACACTAGGTCGGGAGTAAGTCAAGGAACAAATCTAGGGCCCCTAGAGTTTCTACTAATGGTTAATGACTTGCCGAACGTTGTTCAGGATGCTAAGTGCTTACTGTTTGCTGACGACCTTAAGCTTTACCTCCCCATCACAAACGTAAATGACTGTGAAAAGCTGCAAAGCGATATAGACCGAGTAGTTGCTTGGAGTCAATGTAATCTCCTGCATTTTAACACGTCTAAGTGTGTGACCATAAGTTTCTCACGCGCACACTCACCCGTCACACATACTTATACGGTGGATGGGGTACCGCTGAAAAGGGTCATGGAGATTAAAGACTTAGGAGTTCGTTTTACCTCTGGGCTCACGTTTCGTAATCATATAGTCGAGGTATGCAAAAAAGCATATCGAAATCTAGGGTTTGTACTTAGAATGGTTAGAGGCTTCACAAATATGAGAGCTATAACGACACTATATAATGCCTTAGTGAGAAGCCAGCTTGAATGCAATGCAGTGATCTGGGCTCCACATGAAACTAAGTACAGTCTCATGCTTGAACGAGTACAGAATAAATTCATGAGATATAAGTATATGAGGGAGTTCGGGGTATATCCATTCTACCCATTAATGTATCCAACTCTGTTTGTCTTGGGTATGGTTGGATATAATGAATTACAGGTCAGGAGGCAACTCGCATTGGTGACTTATATCTTTAAGATAATTAGGGGGAAGATACACAATCCGGATATATTGCGAATGGTTGAACTGGTCGTTCCCGATGGATACGTGAGTCGTCGTCGCCAGCCGCGGTTACTGGCAGAACCACGTTCGCGAACTAACTTGCTGCGGGAGGCACCGCTCACGTGTGCGCTTCGCACTCTGAAACTCGTTGCTAATGACGTAGACATATTCTGTTGCTCTTTAGGAGAATTTACACGAGCAGCCATGCATAGGATTTGCTATATGTAGTAAAAGCTTATTATATATTTATATTATATATATGGATATTTCTTGTTTGTATATTTTGTTTATTATTGTTATTTTAATATTTGCTGCAATATCGCATTGGGTCTAGCCTGTAAGGATATTTGTATGTTATGTGTAAATAAATAAATAAATAAATAAATATGTGTAATAAAATGTAGTTTCGTATACCAGACAATTTATTTACAATTTTAGACTAACTGTAACCCCTAGGTATGTACACATTATCTTTTGAGTGGTAATTTGGTACATAAATATGGGTAAAACAATGTGAATAGAATTCGAGGCGAGAATAGATACAGAAGTGGTATGAATACCTAAATGTTCCGAAAATGCTCAAACATCTATTCACCCCATACTTGTAACTATTCACCATTTGAAATCTATTCACCTAGTTTTACAGTAGCTTTAATAACAGTGCATTATCGAATTTCAATAAAAATGAATGCATTAAGTATATCAGATATAAACATTTAATTGAGATACTTTTGTTTGTTCCGTTATTGAGTATGTGGACGCACAATAGGAATGTTGCAAACCATAAAATTAAACAGAATAAAATCAATGAAGAAAGTTGTTAAAGAATTCGACAACAATACATAGTATAATATGGAATGAACATATATACAAATGGTCTCAATTAAACTGTAGCCAAACAATTACTACGATCAATCGATCTAATCAATCACTATCATGCGTACCCATTGACTAATATTTAGATAACATAACATCTGCTGTATATAAAAAAATGTTTTAGGCCTGTAATAGACACTGGGAGAAAATATTATATTCTTTCAGTATATTACTTTCTGCTATTGAAATAGATAACTTTTAATAGATATAACTACATACGACTTTATTAAATTTAAAAAAAAATTAAAGAAAAATTATGTAATTCAGAAAACACAAAATTTACAGTATGAGCGTTTGAAGTTTTAATTTCATTAAAATTAGTTTGAATCGAAATGACAACTGCGACATCTGGTGGACTTGGTCTGAATTATTTAAAATGTCGTTTTTACTCGTAAATAATCTTGTTAGTAGACTCATTTTACGTAATAATATTATTCTCCAAAAAAAAATTGAAAAATAACATTTTCATATTTAAACGACGAATTGTGGTTTTATTTTTTTTGTGAGGCTGGTATAATTATACAATCTTTTAAGAACATACCTATCTATACTATAAAGATGGGTGTAGATGATTTAAAGTCGGCAATAAAACAAAAACAGCCTCGTGTAATTTTAATACTTCTAGATAAACACTTAAATATATTTTTTTAATTTAATTGACTACACAAGTCTTTGTGGCCATGATACTGCCTACTTTTTATTTTTTACTAAAATACCATAAAGTTAGATCATAAATCTTTTATTTTTAAGTCATTAGAGGATCAATAAAAATAGACCGTTTCATAAATATTTATCAATCTGCAATAGTCACTGGTTAGTACATACTTATGTAGGTACTTCTATTTTGTTTATTACCGCTTTTTATGAATATTCGTTTGAATTCGAATAAGACCTTGCCCATAAAATATATTGGTCTTAAACAATTAATTAACGGATGCTTAATTAAGTTTAAACAAACAGATTCACATCTCGTGTAAGTTAAATAAACTAAACTATAAAAATATACTAACGAGATAGATAAATTTATTGGTATCTTCAGTTCTCATATTCCTGGAAACTTTTGAAAATTAGTAACGAAATTTTGATATAAATGAAGTACGTACAACAGTGGTATTTTCCACAGTGGTGGCAATTGCTGATCTTTCTTATGCGCCGAAAGCTTCACTATTTACACATACCTACCTACTATTTTACCTAAATTAAGAACTCAACACTGACTGCCTGCCTCATTGGCCGAGTGGTCGCAAGTGAAACTGGCGGGCAAGGGTTTGATTCCCGGGTCGGGCAAAGTATTACTGGGCTTTTTAAATAATTCTCATTAGTAGCACGGAGTCTGGAATTGTGACCGGTGGAATTGTGGCGATAGGCTCACCCCCTATTACATGGGACTCATAACATAAACAGTGAGAAGTGGGTGTTACCTACACTGTGCAGTAGCACTAAGTATCGTAATGTACACATCTGCCTACCCCTTCGGGATAACAGGCGTGATGTTATGTTATGTTAAGAACTCAACACCATCATTTGCAAGTGACAGTTTTATTAATCCCATAGAATATAATGCCATCTTTACCCAACAAGCATGACAGATAAGAGTCGGTCAAGGTGAAGGGGATTGATTGACGCAGCCATTATTTTATATTTATCATATTACAGTGTAAGACATGTAATCTCGGCCCAAGGCTTCAAATTACATGCATTATTACCATGTTCGTGGCTTCGTTTGCTCCATAGCTAACTATTTACTTCACCATAATAGACATGGTTGAGATTTTTTGCTGATTATTATAGTTTTTAGTCTGTATGTTTGGAACGCGTAAACTGCAAATGGTTTACTATATATTTACTTCAACAATGCATCTTCTATATATGCATATAAAAATACCTGTACCTATATAAAAATAAATTGCAGTTCGTTTGTCTCGCTAAAATTCGAAAATGGCTGAACCGATTTGGCTAAGTTTGATCTTGAATTTTTTACGGGAGTCCAGGAAAAAAATATACAACAATTTTGTTTCCATAGAAAGAGGGATTATGTAAAGTGGTACGAAATCTACTGGCTCCGATATTTATATACAATGAATGTATTGTAAAAAAGTGTGAAGTAAAATACATTTTAAATTAATGTTGGCCATTATAATAATATATCCTATCTCGCATATCTGACACCATATTATACTAATTAAAATGTTAGAAAAAATATAATTTTGGTTTTTATGCTACCTATATCTATCTATTACCGAGAAGCACGTGGATGTGAAATCGTTATTTGATAAATCCTAATGATAATTATAAAACATTAACATGTTTTAATTCAAACCAATACTTACGAACCTAATTTATATTAAAATAATTTGGTCACACACCTGTCTGTCAAGACATCCACGAGTTACATTCAATTAAAAATAACCAACAAAATACGAAATAGGTACTTTAAATACTGGCTCAATAAAGAAAACAGATTGTTTTGAAATCAAATTAATTTGAATAAGATTTTCGAAAATATCAAGGCTATTGAAATAGCTTCTTAATTTGGAAGATACACGTGAAAAGTGTTAGTAAAATATTCATATATGTGGGATAGATGGCGCCAAAATCTAAATGTAAGTATGCACGCGCATTATCTATGCATATGTAAAACACGATCTGCGAGCATTTTGTATACGAATTAGAACTTCCTATTTAACTAGATACTATTATAAATGCGAGAGATGTATGTATGTTTATTATCCTCTTTCACAATAAAATGTAGGTACTGAACGGATTTGGCTACATTTTGTAGAGATATCCCGGGACCGCGGGTGAAGCCGCTGGCAGAAGGTAGTAGTAGTAGTAGTATATCTTACACAAGTTACACATTTATGGTACATTCGGTTATCTCACCGATTATCACGCAAGAGTAAGAACAATTAAAACCGAACATAGAGTGAACTGGACGCGGAAGGCCTAACGGGTTGCTGGGGCTCCGGTTTGAAGTCAAAAAAAGAGTAAACTGGAAAGTCTTTAAACAAAACGATAATTAGAAATGTTATGAAGCAAATGCTATAGAACCTACTTAGTTAACATGATAAGCGGAAGCAAAGCCTCGGGCAAAGGCGAGTCTTCGTAAAGTGTTCATAATTGAATTAGATCATAAATTGTGTTTACGTTATCTTAAACAGAAATCTATTGGTCGTATTTCATTTTGATTGTTAATAGCTTTGATGGGATGTCATCCGTATAATACATTATTTAGCTTTTAAATTTATTTAATTTTATTCATCAATTTTTCCATTTGTTTGTTGCTAACATAATGTACTATCCATCAATATATGCCCCACTGAACTATTAATACATATTTACGTCAGTGAGTGGAAAAATATTTGTTTGTAATGTAAAAGAAAGTCTGTCAAAGAAACACTGCAGAAACAAGATTGGACCGAACGGAATATTTTTATAAGAGACGATTTGTGCGTGTACATTATTTAACGCATAACGAAACTATGGTATGTATATGGTGATCGTCCGAACTACATAAAACCAGTCTTCATAGGAGTAGAAAAAAGTGGGTGAATGCTCGAAACACTTCGGGAATCAATCGGTATCTTTTCGATAAATTAGCTGGACGCGTTTAAGCAAAACCTGTTTTTGATAATGTGTCATATTTTTCAAATAACTGTGACATTGCAAATCATTTTGCTTAAACCAGAGATGGACTAAACACACATTTGTAAGCATCTTCGTCCTCCAAACAACAACCGTTCCGCATTCTTTTCAAGATCACAAAACTATTGTGAAATACTGACATTATAAAAATACCACAGTAACATTAACGCAGCAACTAGTTTTTAACTAATTAAATAAATAACCACGATGATAGGTCGGGTTCTTGGCGATAAACAATTTTTTATTCAAATGATCAATTAGAGTGACATTAGTCGTTATTCATAGCGTACGCAACCGATATTGAATGGTAGGGACAAACATGAAGACGATCTCATAAATTTTCTTAATATGATTTTAATTTATTGGATTATTATTATTACAATATTTGGATTTTATGTCGAGGTAGGTTATATTTTGTTTACTTATAAAGTATACTTCCTATAATAGTTTTGCTGAACTTTAAAGTTTCAGTAAATTAGTTGTCTTGTTGGATTTAAATTCAGAACGTTCAACCGCCAAACTGAGAGCGTCAAACTTTTTTATGTGCCTAAAAATTTTTCAGTCAATCTTAGTAGCATGAACTGAAAATATTGATCTCTTTCACTAGGAGTCAACTTTTGTTACATAGCATTGAGGCCAAGAAGGAAAATAGTTGATCGGTTACGTTTAAAAAATCTTCCTCCATAACAGGTCGACGACGCGACGTCTCATTCGCAGAAACAAATTGTTTCGAATATAAAAATTATAATAGTTACCTACATTTATAAAAACCTTGACCCTGAGTTTGTTTCAATGTTACCTCTATACGTATAATGTTACTAAGTAAGGAACCACAGCTATCTGGTTTATTAACAGTATAATATCTATCTACTAACATCGTATTCTAGTTCTAATAAATAAAACTGTAGAGTCTAAATTTACTTGGACAGTTAGGTTGGTTTACTAGGTTAGCTTGTTAGAAAATACATAGGTATCTTATGTCTTGTAGTAATACAAGTTACTGAGCATGCGGTTCTGTCATTGATCTCCGAGCTATCGGTCGGGGTAAAGATAACGTGTCTGATAATGAAATTGAAACAATAGACTTGGCTCCTTCTATGAGGCTATATTTTACTAGCTGTTGCCCGCGACTTTGTCCGCATAGAATATGATTCCTGGTTTTATCCCATGGGAGCATGTAATCGGGGTAAAGTGTATCCTATCACCTAAGTCAGCCCATAATTTGCTTGTATACCACATTTCATGAAAATCCGTTTAGTAGTTTCAGCGTTTTTAACGGACAAAACATCCAAATAAATAAACTTGCACATTTTATAATATTAGTGTGATGTGTCTGTAAGCATTGCATAGTACCTGTCTAGGACAAAAGTAGGTTGTATGTACAAAATATTGATACGTTCGTAGAAATAGTAGACACACATCTTGCTGATTTGACGCAACAATGACAAAATTACACTTTTTTAATAAACAAGCTTAGAAAGACTATTTACATCGAGAGAAACATCGACTCAATTGAAATTAGATACTAAAAATGTAATTACGTTATGATTGCACCAAATGAGCAATTTATGCTTTGCCTGAAGTCATTAACAGGTAGGTTACAATAATATTTATGACAAAACAGGAGTCAAATCCTGTCGTAAAATGTTTTATCATCATCGTATTGTACATAACTCTTCATAGGCTTGGTGAAGGTATAATTTATTCCACCAGCTAAGTAGGTATTTATTTACCTCTAATTTGGAGGCGGCAACTAGAGCCTCTAATAAAAATTAATAAACAACAAGTTTTATAACATACTTAATATTGTAATATAGAGTTAAAGATTATACCTACCGTATAATATACATAGTTATAGGTAGGTATACGGGGCGTTTTGGTGTGGTATCTTTTTTAAAACTATAATTTAATCACAGTAACTTTTAATTTGACCTAGGTAGTAAGCACACTTTAGTTAGAAAATCTAATTTCATCTGCCGAATTTTGGGCATGTATGAATTTTGTATTAAAATTAAACCTTTGAAGAAAGTTTGCTCGACTTTACATTCCCAATGTGCTGGTAAATAATGTTACCGATTTAACTCGTCGAGTACCGTATTTATAGACACAATTAAAGAACAATAAGTTGCGGTCACCAGTGAACGCTTGACAGTTTAAATAAATATAGCCTTTATTAGGTACTGTTTTTCCTTACAATAATTTCATACGCCTACTTGCTAATACCAAATTTTATTTCTAATTTATATTAAAACGATCGGCAACTGGTTGCTTTTGTTGAACCGACATATGGTAGCAAATATTGTGTATTATTACTGGAAATTGTACTTACAAAGAGCACGAGCACCATGGTAGTTAGTGGTACAGTGAGTGCTACCAGCGCAGCCTGTCTCCACGGTAGCACTGTCCCCAGCAGGTACGCCACGAACATACCCGTCGAGGTGAACCCATTGGTCAGGGTCGTCAAGATCCCTCGCACTGATGGATCACTGGAATCACATAAACGATTTAGGATTAATATTAATACCTACATTTTCACATGCTGCATATCATAGGTAGGTTTTAAAAGACAATTTCATTGCCTCTTGGTTAACGCATTCAAATAACGATTGATTGTCAAGCACGTTCCAGGTTTCATTTTTTTTATTAAGTATAGTTTAGTATCTACTTTAAGTGAGAATCTATTGTTTCATTACTTTTAAAGAATACCTATACATAAAAATGCCTACATCATACTTGAGGTGCAGTAAACTAAGGCATCTCAAACTTACCTAATAATATGTCGTAATAGAGCCTGCTTTGTCACGTAGGAAGTAATGCAGATGCTTACGTCACCATTATCTATTTGTCGTATAGTTATAGCAAAAAATGGTCCCTTTCTGTTTTAAATATTTTTTTTAAGACATTGTTTTTTTTATATCTGTTATGTTATTTTATGCAAAAATAGACACAGTATATCAGGATTTTGGCTCCATACCGTCTGGTATTAATGTATTCTGAATACAACTTTTACTAATATGTGGACGTGCGATAATATTTTTTGTTTTACAGATTAGAAAAGATTTATAAATATGTGACATTTTTATTGATCCATATAGACTTGATTTGCTGCTTTGATTGCTTGTAGCGTTTTTGTAGTAGGTAGTTGTTATTCCTGTGTTGTTATTCGTCATTTATACATTCATATTAGGTAGGTAAGTACTAGGTATACGAAAAATTTAACCCTGGCCAAGTGAAATATATCGAGCTAGCGTATAATATCTAATATATAATACATATAATAAATAGCGTATAATATCTAATATGATAAATATCTAATATGGTTAATTAATTTATTTATGAATGTATCTATGAAAATGCATTTTTTATGCAGAATACATTAGCTTATCTTTCGAAGATACGTATGTTGATATTCTAGAAAATTACCTATTTTTGTACCTAATAATAAGTAGATGCAACCTAATATGTAGTTATCTTTACCTGATCCACTATATTATTCTTAATGCAACTGATTTTATCAATTCCTTGGAGCCTTGCTCTTTACTAATGACGCCTGGAAATATTAGATAATTCAATAAATTGACCATTATTGCGGAAAGTTACAAAAGAATATGTAGCAGATGTTCGGTTATCTTTGAATATTAATAAAAAAAATTACATATTTTTTGTAATTAAAACTCAAAGGCGTCAAAATTATTAACACTGTACAAATTTATGTGTTAAACAAATTATTATATAATAATTAATCAATAATAATCCAATATCCATATGGATCGATGTAGATTTTACACAATAGAACTAACTAACCTACGAAAATGAGATTTTGTTATAGCAGAAGAAAGTAATATTTTATTGACATCGATTTAAATTTCGACTATAAATATGTGTTAATTTGATTTACTTTCCTAGTCCCATATTTTAAGAGGGGATAGTACATCAATTGTCTGACATATTGAACGATAACATTATCCCAACTTAATCGAAGTTAATTATTGAATTTCTCACCTTATCTCACCAACATAAGTTACGGACGGGGCTTCCATGATGCCAGTTCCTATGCCGAGCAAGGCATTTCCAATGAAGAGTGACGGTACATCCCACGCGTAGTACATGAGTAGCCAGGCAACCACGTGAGGTATGTTCACCAGGAACAGCGCCTTCTTTCGACCGAAGTGGTCTAGAAGTGGTCCTGAGAATATGCTGCCAAGTGGCTGACACAGAAACGCCATACTGCCTGTAGAAAAAAAGCATTTGTTTTATTAATAGCTTTTTAATTTAGGAAACTGAAGTCAAGTTCAGTCTATGAATATAGCAGGAAATGTATGAGAATGAAGACTGTATGAGAAGTGAATTAGACTTCATAATTATGCACTATTTAGGTGTTGTGTATTGTATCAATGGAGAGAGTATGTACGCATAGTGTTTTAATTCATTGATATAATCACTCCTGTATAAACATTATTAGGAATTTGAGAAAATACAGCAAAAAAAGAAATGCAAAACTGAGCAATGAATTTAAAATTTGGTGTTTTATTTAATTATCTTAAAGCATCAGTATTCACATTTGGTTTACATAGAATCTAGTCATTTCGATAGTTTTTTTTTATTGCTTATCGCAACTTCTATTAAATTTACAGCATTTGAATAACTGATGGGAATATAAAAAAGTGCATTATTTATATTATGGCGATTTCTTAAGCATTTCTAATGCACGTTTACCACATAATTATAATGACATACATAATTTACACACATATATCTAATGATCTAGGCTGCCAACAATAATCTGGAATAAATATTATGTAAGTACTCTGTATATTTATACAAAATATCTATCTAGAATAATTGTTCATTGTTAAATGTTTATTTAAGTAATATTTCAAACAATAATAATTGTTACGGTTCTGATTAGATTTTGTGAACATGGGAAAATTATTTGTCGCAGGTAATAAAATGATTACATGACAAAATTCAAATGCCCATTTCCCTAATAAATAAATATTTTACCAGATAAATTAATTGTAAGTAGTTCGTATATACAAATATCGTATATATATATTTGAAACATACTTGTTAAAACTTTACATAATCTAGGTACGATCTACCATACAGTACAATTTACCAGACTCTCCCCTACGAATTCTTGATTTGAATAATATTAAAACAATAATTTTTAGTTTCAAAAGTGTTATGTACACTCATATCTATTCCATATCTAAAAGTGTTCTTCGTTTGCGATTTGTAACTACATACATATACATATATATATTATTTGTCCAAAGATTTGCTATAAAATTATTATATTATATCTAATGGATGTTTCTACTAGAAACAAAATGATAACTAAATAAAATAGATATTAATTTTAAATTAGACCGTATTTTTATGAGTTAGTATAAAAATTTTGAAATGTAAGCAGCTATTGAATTAAAATTTACGACATATAGGTAATAATCATTTTGTTTAACATGAAAAATATTCAATTTGTGATATCTACCTACCTTCTATATTAAAGTTTAATCTTTATGCAAAAGGTGTGGATCAATATTTAGTTAAAAACATACATACATAGAAAACATAATAATAATTTAAGTATAATAATTATTTTAGGCTAGCGTTAGATGATTGGCTCAAGGGCCTGATGCAGAAAGCAGTAGGCACTTCTGGACACGGCGCGTATTGTCCGGAAATTCCTTTCTCTGGAGCCCTGACCACTGGTAGCTTGGATTTCTCCCGTTACTGGTGGGCTACTGCTTTTTATATTTTTAAATGTTTTTTTTTATAATCAAATATTTATAAATATATAAGTCAAGTATATAAATAAATAAAGAAAATAATAGATAATTTAAGTATTTCTTAAAAAATTCTATATATTATATCAAAATATACAAGTGTTAGTTCTTATGCATATTACGTTGGATCGGATCATGAAAGTGAGGAAAAATAATAAAAATAAATTCACCAAAAGGAAATACCAAATAGTGTACCTACTAAAATACATTTCAAAATATCATTAATGTGTAGTATGCTGGTCTAATTGAGTCGACTATCATTAAAGTTCAATCATTTACTTATACTTAATTATATGTACGCAGTTACATATACATATATACATATAACTGTAACTTCTAAAAATAAAAGCCTGTTTTCACCCAACTAATTAATTCACTTCAATATTTTTTTCCTAACCGACCAACGTTAATTCGCGTTGACAGATTTATCAAGGTATACAGGGCCCAAACATATGGCTTTCTGAATAAAAACAAGAAAATGGGTACCCCAATGAACTAAGCTAGTTATAATTTACATATCATTAATTATGTTGTGTTTTTTGCAAGTACACTTTTTTGTTACATTACTGGTAACTGACCTCTAGTAACCGGCCTTCCATTACAGCTAACCAAGCATTAAATAATGTTGCGAAATTATTTAAAAACGGCCTACACATATGTCTTTTCTTCCGCTAAAAATTGTGTTACTATTCACTTGCTAGGCTATTTTTACCACGTAATCAGTTTTAATTTATTTTAACATTTGCATTTTCGTTATACAGAGTGTAAGCGGAATGCTCCTGAAAAACGCTGACTGATAAAAAACATAAACATAACATCACGCCTATTATCCCCGAAGGGGTAGGCAGAAGTGCACATTACAGCACTTAACGCCACTGTACAATGTAACACCCACTTTTCACTATTTATGTTATGAGTCCCATGTAATAGGGGGTGAGCCTATTGCCATATACTGGGCACATTTCCAGACTATGTGCTACTACTGAGATTTTAAAAAAACCCAGTAATACTTTGCCCGACCCGGGAATTGAACCCGAGACCCCTTGCCCGGCAGTCATACTTGCGACCACTCGGCTAATGAGGCTGGTGAAAAACAAGTTTTGTTTTCATAAAAGTAAGGAATTAAATATACACGGACATATAGTGACCAGATTGGCGATATATTAAAGAAGGGCCAAATTAAAAGTAACCTAACCGACGAGCATGCATTTAAAGATTGATGACTGTTAATGAAGCGAAAGAGGTATGTAGAAAAGGTAGTAATTGGCGTTCCCTAGTCTCTGCCTACCCCCATGGGAGACAGGCGTGAAGCTATGTATGTATGTCAGGAATTAAATGTTTCATTTTATGTTATAACAGTTGTAATCAACTACTCGAGATATATGTAGCATGAATAACACGAAAACAAAAAATATTATATTTGTAGAAACAATTTCTTTTTATCAACGTTTCGGCATCGTACCGTTTACGCCCTGTATATTAAAAATAATTATACACAGATAAAAACTTTCGTTATGAAGAAAACAACAATAACAAATAATTTAATTGAGTTTATGAACTTGTTTCTTGAAACTTTTATTTCAAAATATAAGCGGTTATGTTGAGAAAAACATTACTTTAATTAAAATTATTGTTGAACTTGTTGGAACATTTATTTAGAAAGGAGTTTGTAAGGTTTCTGATAAACTTGAAGAGGAAGTATACGAAGACGGAGTTGCTAAACAAATTTTCCAAAGTTTGAGACCAATTTCCTCATATCCAAAATTGTAACAAAATTTTGTTTACACCAATTAAATTTAAATAACGTTATCTCAATGTCTTTAATTAGTAAAAAATACAGATTAAAATGCAAGAATAACTTTTAAATAAATGACCAGGATGCAAAAATCCATTATGATAATAAATCTAGTTTTCATTTAAATTCAAAATGTGATGCAGTTCAGAAAAACTTTAAGGTTAAGGTTATTTTCAAATGGAATGAAGTACCTAAATAATAACCATGTTGTTCAAACCAAAAAATAGGGAATAAATGTTTTTTACCAGTATAAATTGATCGTCAAAAATCTGATTTTCATAAATTTTGATACAGAAGGTGTTTTGAATGGGCCTTTGATATAAACATACATACAAGTATACAACACGCCTTTTATCCCCCAAGGCGTAGGCAGAGGTGTACATTATGCCACTGTACAATGTAACACCCACTTTTCACTATATAGGTAAGTTATTAATCCCATTTAATAGGGGTGAGTCTATTACCATATACCGGGCACAATTCCAGACTCCGTGCTGCTACTAAGATTTTTTTAAAACTTATTAATATTTTGCCCGATCCCTCAATCGAACCCGAGACCCTTGCCTGGCAGTCGCACTTGCGACGACTCGGCCAACGAGGCCGTCATACATATAATATAGCCCCATGGGTGACAGGATCTTTGGAACGCCAATTGCTCGAATCTTACACACTCGTCGGTTAAGGGTACTTTCAATTTGGCCATAATAAATAAGCACAATAACTTAACAGACGCTTTGAGGGGTTTGGGTCGATAGGTTAAATACGACTGAAGATAAGCTAATATAGATAAAAGGAAAAATATACTTACCGAACCATGATGCCTGTTTTTTAGTGATTGAAAGTCCTTCTTTAGCATCAAGTACCTCAGGTAATACCATTGTAACGAAACTGATGGACAGGCCCAGCCCAATCAGTAAGAAGTCCAGTGCGAGACATGCTAGTACCTGCGAAGGAAAAGAAACCATACGTTCATTCATAATAGGTGCGTTTTACATTACAAGTCTATTTTAGAAGCCTTTGATTACGGGTTGATAACCTTTTTTGAACGTGGAAGGAAATCAAATAAGTGCATGTTAGGGTTGTGTAATCACTCTATTCTATGGTTTCTACCGACCCCTACGGCATTGCATGCACGTGGAAAACAAAACTTAAATGAGCTTATTTCATTTCAATGGGTATATAAAATACTAGAATAAAACGTTAATGGGATATAAAAATCCACATATTATTATTATATTACATAATAAATTAATGATTTTGTAATACGAATGCAAAAAATATATGATTCCTAACGATTCCTCACGTGATTTGTGTTTTTATTTTACAATAAATGAATATAAACGACTGATAAATACAAAATCAATTGTTGGCGTTTCTTTCATATTCTGCATGATTCCGGTATTTCGCGGTTTTGATTATTAAAAATACTTAGGATTTTAAAAAGTCTAGGTATTTCAATGTGAAGTGGGCTAGGGACTACAGTATAAATAAAATTTAAAACACCGGTTTTTACAATTCATTCATTGCCTAAACATTAACTTGCTACCAATGTCTGCCTATTTAGATCGTAAAAGAATAGTTAAAGTAAGTTATTTTCAGATTTTTGTGAAATTAATGTATGAAGAATCGATCCTATACTTTTTCACATTTATTCATGCATTTAATTTAAAATTTAATTAAAGTACTGCTATTTCACACTAATACATAGAATTTTGTTACATTTTCTATATTTGTTTATCGTATTTATATGACGTGTGATTACATAATACTGCGGACATAAAACAAGATCTTGAAGAAGACTTTGTATGTGATTAATTTTCATTAATAAACAAATAGCAGGAATTATAATTTTTATATACTAGGTAATTACATTTTTATTATTCACGACAAAAAATCGTTCCACTTCTAAAAGAATAAAATCTTTAAAAAAAACTTTTTTATTTTAGTTTTAATAAACTCGTTTGCTCTCTACGAAAGGGTAAAAATTCATAGATGTAACTATATATGTACAAACTCCTTAATTTTAGTACTGAAGTGTTTTTACCAGTTTTTACTGTAAAATTTATTATTGTTATTGGATATTGTTTTACATAACATATCAAGTTTCAATGAATATAATAAAAAAAATCTAGGTATAGTATGTACCTTACCAAAATTTTTATGACTTCATAGTTTTAAAACCATAGATCATATTATTGAGTTTACGAAATGAATATTCATTTGTTTTTTCTTAATATAAAGAAATATTTTCGTAATGTTTATCGTTTTATGACATTTAATTGCGTACGTGTAATAAAACGTAATATACCTATTTTAAGTGACTTACTGATACAAACAACTCACACACACACTAAAAAGAGGAGAGTCGGAATTTATGGAAGTTGATTTCATTAAACTCATAAGTTTTAAATCTACTTCATTACGATAGAAATCTTTATGTTAAGCAAATTATTTAAGATTCTCGAATTAAGTACCTATATATTGTGATATAAAAAGTACATATTATATTTACATAGAAATCGGCCTCATGCAAAATTTTCCAATATACAGGTAATAAGACTTAAAAATATATATCGATTATATAGATACATAAAACAGATTTTTATATATACCTATATAATATACAATTATGCAAAATATTGTATTTTTGCTTAATGCATTATTGATATCATATAAAATTCTAAATAAAATACATTGAATTTAATGTCACATTTAAATCTATTTCGTTGACATCATTTTAACGATCTTTTTATAATATATTATAAAAAAAAAATTATAGCTGTAACTGTATATTTCAATAAATGTATTTTGCTAGTAAATGAGATATATAATAATAATAATATATGTCGGAGTAGTTATTCTTATTAGCATAATTACTCCGACAGCCAAATATTGAAATGTTATAAATAAAATATAGATATATTAAGTATCTTATTGCTTTGGAAGTCTTTATATTATTTTTCAGTTACATTTAGTATATATTTCATTTAGACTTTCTGGAAGTCTAAAAATAAAGTATAAAATAAAGATCAGATGATCCTAAAGTGAAGTTTTTGTTATAGCTGTAAGAACAACATGAGCGAGCATTTTGGTTTAACAGTGATATGCCTTAAATATTTGGACAATAGTATTTCGGCAGAGATGCCAACCCGCATTGAGCAAGCGTGGTAATTAATGGTCAAACCTTTGCAATGTGAGAAGAGGTTTTGCTCAGCAATGGGTTGACGATGATGATGATGATGATTTCGACAGAATATTGTTAAAAGTACCTACTGAATCTTTCTGAACTTAATCTTGATTAAAAGAGTAGGTCTAGTGACAAGCGTCTTCCACTCTACCATAGCTCTGCTAAATTAAAAAGTAAGAAATAAAAAAAAATATTATTTATTACCACATGACCGATTATATTCTTTATTCACACCAATTTGTTACGATAATGGTTTTATGGTCCCTAATTGCATGGAAATTGAACATAAGAAATATATAGATACAGGTCCACAGTACATATTTGCGGTTAATGACTGATCATTTCAAAATTTGGTTGTTTGATAACCTAATGGACTGGAAAGGCTATTAATTATACTCTATATTAAGCACAAATAAAAAAATGTAGCTACAGATAGTTCGTATTATATTTCTTATTACATCAATTATTATAGGTATGTATTTCTTATGTTCATTGCTTCTAAAGAAGGCTTAAGAATGAGTTAATAGTTGCAAACTATTGTTCCTTTTGAAGCAAAAACATTGACAAATTCTTCCTTGTTTGAATAAGGGTATAAAGCCACTTAGGTTCCGCAAATGTAAGATATTTGTGCATCATTATTTAAGGCCTCTATACATATAAAACCATTACGGTTTGGGTATGAATGTTTCGGAACCTACTGACTATGAACTAACAAAACTTTGCAAACTTTGATTGAGAATTATGCAGCACTGATAATCTATATATATATAAAAGAAAGTGTTAGTTACACTACTTATAACTCAAGAACGGCTACATCGATTTGGATGACAATTGGTGGGGAGGTAGATTAGAACCAGGAGACGGACATAGGATACTTTTTCATCGAATTTTTTTTTTTTTTTTACTTTTCTCCGAAAATCACGAACGGGGACGGGAAAAAATGGGATTACGCGTACGAAGTCGCGGGCAGAAGCTAGTAATATATAAACGCGACAACGTGTCGATTGGCGAGGCGTATTTGAGAGCTAGTATGAAACGGAACGTTTATTGTCTATATACTCAAGATGGCGACTGCAGTTTGTCTGTCAGTGTCATTAAAATGGATTAATAAAACAAATTATTTCCGTAATCCGATTTTTTTATGATTTGAGATTCAGCTAATGTTTCGACCGAGTCTACCGTACCCCTTGACGAAATTATTAATTTTTTGTTGTACTTATTTGTTATTATTAGGAGAAGGTTCTTAAGACAGAAAAAATCCTTAAAATCCTACGGGAACGGGAGCAAACGGAATAGCGTACGAAGTCGTGGGCAGAAGCTCGTAATAAATAAATATTAGTAAGCATTAATAGAAGATTTAGGTACGAGAAATTTAAAACAAATACTGTATTTAAAAATATTAGGTATGCTCTTTTTTGTTTATTTTAATTTTATTAATATTTTTATATACATACATATAGATCAGAGGCGCTCGTACGCACGTAGATACAGCATTGATTAATTGCGTAAGTTATCGTATCCACAATAGTATATTACAATAGGTATCAACTGTTAGAATACGATGCACCTAGATAAAAATACGAGTATTTCTTTGTTAGCGTTATTATTTATAAAAAACACTCAATGAACATTACGTCAATTTGTCATCTATTTAATTGATTGGATGACAGATTACAAATTGACGATATTGCGACATGAATGGAACCCCCCAGTAGAAAGAAATGTTAGTAGATATAATTCGATATTTTTATGTAACTCGATTTTACATATAAATATTTCCTGTTTTATTATACAAATCTAGAATTTTGGACGTTTAATATTTACATATTGCAAAATTTAGATTTTATACGATCATTAGACCAACGATGAATGCGGCTAGAGAACGAGATAGAAATGGTTAACTGTAAAATTTATTTTAGATAATAACGTTTGTCTAGGAAAACCCTGTCCTCATTAAATATTTCATATAACAAAAGTAGGCGTGATGAATCGCTATGTGATTTATTAATGCTGAAAATCACTTGTTATAGGTACAAAGTCACTTAAATGTCAATGACCTCAAATGTCTGAATCTCTTGCAAGCTAATAATAATATAATGGTTATATGCTACGCCTGTTAGATGAAAAGCAATCATAAATTGCCATATAAATTGAATATTGTTACCTCATTGCGTGGCGTGAGACGCAGGATGCCCGCCAATTTTGTTCATTGAATGAAATATTGTACTGATTGTCACTGTTCTGATATTTTGTGAATAACTTTAAGTAAGTCATTGTGATATATCCTTTGATTATAATATAATGTCTAGATAGATTTTCAGTTCACGAAAAGCGGCCCAAAAGTTTGCAGTGAACTGTCCACTGCAATGCATTTTCCCTTCAAGTTGTACCAATTGTGTCACCTAGGCGTCACTACGTGTATGCACGATACAAAATAAATTTGTCAACAAAAAAGGTACACTGCAAAGATGGCCACTTGCTCCATGAAATTGTGCTAAAATTATAAATGACGGTTAAAAGCACTAAACAGATCACTTATCCATCGCTAAGTAATTAAAAATTAATTGCCGCCATATTTTATCAGTGTTGCCAATTTATTTTTCAATATTCCCTTCTCACATCTCATAAAAAGGGAAAAATTGACAAAAAATCTCATTTGCTTGTAAATTAAAAATAAAATCATATTTTTATTATCTATTGAACTAACCCTTACCTGCACTTTAATGTACTATTTATTCTAACCGACTTAAAAAAGATCAATCGAAATCGAAAAGGTTGCAACTGCAATAATATTTTATTAATTGCTTTTATACAAATAAAGTAAAAAGTGTCTTAATATCAACATTTAATAATTCTTTTCATACGGATAATATATTTCATACATGACAAAATATAAATAACAACAGTGCACATTAAAAAAAAACTTTAAAATCAAATTCAAAGAGATGGTTACATTTTTTTATTTTATTTCTAAATGGTCTGGCATATGTACCCAAATATTTATGGGAGATATAAATTTGATGGGATTTTGTTTGCCGTAGCTGGTATCATTTTGCTCTGCGTAAACCACAAGCCGCACGCACACATGCAAGAAATTTTGGAACGTCATTTTATTGTATGGCGACGCTCTATCTAGACATTTTATTAATATAATCAAAGATTCATTCATGTTTTTTCTATTTGTTATGAATATATTGAAAACAAAAGACTATTCGGTTCTTAATATTTTTTATCTTGTGACATTCGAATTGTTGTAACCGGCCAGTATTATCAGTCAGACTTTGTATAAAAACTTTTTTACAGCTAAATGCTTTTATAAATATTCATTATTATTAAATATATTTGTAACATTTGAAATACCTGATTGTAAGAAGTTATTTTGACATAATATTAAAAAAAGAAAAAAAAGCTTACCTGAGACAATATAACTCGTGATCGGCTGATTGACTTTTTTTCTTCGATTGTAGTCATTTTTTTAATTAAAAAGTATGGCACACTTTTCTTGAGATGCGATGATGAAAACACAACAATCGCAGTGTAGGGAATTATTGACACTGCTCGCGCGTAATATTTGTTAAAGATTTATTAGTCCTTTGTGATAACATTACCTAGATAATGTTTCATATTGCGTTACTATCAATGTGAAAACCTTAGTAAATTAGAATAAAATCTAGTAAACACTTTTTATTTACGACTTAAAATATTGCTGTTGCACTGATCCTTTATTTTATTTATTTATTTAATTTTTGTCAAAGGGATAGCTGTGCAGGCTTCCATCGCGCGTCAATACTCAGGTCGAACTGCACTGATTTCGTTTTTTCTTCCGTATCATTGTAATTACTAATATATTTAATGAGTGTTAATGAGTTTTTTTTTCATCATGCAATAAGTCTATACCACATTTCCATGACGCATTCAAAATATATTATAGAATCGTCATTTATTTCACATTGGTTAATATGATGACTGAAGATAAAATTATTATTTGACATATTATCATAGATATCTTTAAAAGCTTTTGCTAATTTAGCACTGTAGGTACTAATAATGTTGTGTACTAATTTATTTATTTTATTTATTGTGACATTTTCATGCGACCTTTTGTTATTATTTACATAAAATGTTTATGTTTTATGCATTCGTTGGTGTGATAAACGTCTATACGAGAGTGATATATGTGTTGAATTTTAGTTGAAATTGAAACTGCTGAATGAATAAAATATTTTTTCATATCTTATACATTTTCAAAAACGTCTTTATTTAACACTAACAGGCATCGATCCCTGCGTATCTAAAACATTTATGGTAAAAGTTTGTCTCGTTAACTATGGTAAGCAAGCCTGAATGGCTGAACCTTAACCCCTAGTTAAGGTTCAGTTCCCGGGAGTTTTCAAAAATTTTCAGTAGTAAAAGAAAGTTGAAACTAAAATGGTCGGATAAAATGTCGATTTCGTTTCTAAGTATCACTCAATAACTGCATATTACATCCATGTTGGATTCTTTTTCTTCTCACGTTATTCAATGAAGTAAAATAAACGAGTTTCGATGTCTTTCTAACGGCTAGCTTTACGAGTGACAAAACTGGTTACCTAATTTAAAAAATAAAAAAATAGTTCTAAATATGAACGTTATGCTTTATCTCTGGTATGTTATGGACATACCATAAACCTTGGAATGAGGGTCCGTTTGTATAGTATAGTATAGTTGTAAATTTATTTCAAAAATCATATTTATTGAATGTAAAACTGGAAAGTGATGCAGTATTTTTTTTGCATTATAACGAACCACGTATAAGCGCAAGGTCAGACAATTGTTAAAGGGTTTTATTATTTTTTATAGATGCGCGGTACTCGCGGTTTTATTGTTTGGTCCGCTCTCTCTTTTATCTATCTATTAGTCTTTTGTATGGAAATCCACTCTCAACCTTTAGGGGTCGATTATGAACTATGTTTAAAGGTTAAGAGGATGCCAATGAACAAATCTTTTTTAAGGGCCGAGAATGAGAGTGAACTACACGTAATTTATTAAGGTACACAAATACTGCAAAAATGCTGGTAATGACGATCTACGGAAGAATTTTGACAATCTCTTTCAATTTAATGACAGTTTCCGTGCTATTGCACAACTTACATAACTTAGGAAGAGTAATTAGATGACAATTAATGAACTTAACGAGTTGCATTTCACTAGATAAGGACAATGATGGATTCATTAACTACTTGTGAAATAAAACTGTGTATTGTGTAACAGTTTTAAAAAAGAGCTGTAGTAACAGGCTCATCAAAAACTACCTTTTTTAAGGGGGGAAAAATCGAATGACTTCACCCGCCTAGGTGAGGCGTGGAGTGTCCGACTCTTCTTGACTAAAAACCACCCCGTTCCTACTCCTGCACTTCGACCCGGAGACCCGGTAAACCGTTAGGTTCTCCGCGACTCCGTATCAGCATCAGCTCTATTGGGCCCCATCCGTGGTGGTCTGATGGCTATCAAAAAGTACCTTATTTATTATTTAACACATTAAACGCCATTAGGGGTCACCGATGACCGATGTTAGCGGAGGAATTGTCTTCAACAGTTTATGTTGGCAGCCAAAACCTTATGAGTCAGGATAATTGCCAGTCAGAGAATACGTCGAGAAAACGGGAAAACATATTGTAATAGACGGGTCAATCCACAGTAATAAGCTATTTAGTATATCGAAGTACGTAAAGTTTATAAGTAGAATGTTACCTATCTTAAACTGTCAAACACCAAGCGGTCACCGGTGACCGCGACCTATTGTTCTTTGATTGTGTCTATAAAACCGGTACTCGACGAGTTAAAAGGCAAGATGTCATCGAAATAATAGGTTTAATACCTACGACTGTTTTAACTTTGTATTTGCCACAGATATAATAAAAGATTTACAATAGTCTCTGCAACTTCGTCAATTTTATCTGAAAATGGGAACTCAACTAATAGGGCATTCCCCATATATGCTATGATCAAATAAAATGCTCATTTGGACGCTTTTTTTAGTAATTGAATTTATCATCAACAAACACGAACTTGATCAATTTCCAACGAAACGATGATCAAATCGTATTTTGATTATAAACCTCATCACTGTTTAAAACGCCAAAATCATTTAAAAAAGTATGTAATTTCGTTTTTATCGGTAAAATGCGTTTTATTTCACTTCTATCTATTAATTGATTTGATTTTTTTTCCTATCAATAAATTACTTAAGTAATTAAGTTAAACAGTATGTGGTATTTCTTTTCTAAGAAATATTAATGATTTTAGTGTAGGTAGCTAATAAAAATTATTAATTTGAACCTTAATAACATTATTATATTCTACTTCGTAGGGTAACTTCGTCTGTTCGCGTCCTCCCGCTTCATTTTACAGATAACCATGAATGTAAGATACTAAAAACGTCATCATATGTAAGATCAAACAGATGTGTTCTAACTACTACTAAAATGGTGGAAGTTTTCAAGAATTTGTACCTATTATAACTATGAATTTGTATTTTAACTATGAATATCTATGTCCACTGCTGAACATGGCATGATGGTTATGTAATAATATTGGTAAGTTCATTCGCAACACAAATTGTTATCGTCCTCTCATCTTCTAAGGATCTATTTACCAATATGTCAAACATCAGGTTAACTGTTTTGTACATTTGGCAATAAATTAAGCATTTAATAATTATATTGCACTTCTAGAACATTGACCCGCAGACCCTTGATAAATATGAACGATAGGGAATTACAATGTAGTAAGCATTCTGGCCAAAATTATAATGGACAAATAATTTATAATTTTAACGGTAATGATCCTTATTGACACCTTTATACACATACTTTACAGCTCTTTTACAAGTAATCTAAGCTGTTTTAGTTACGCATCGTCTAAATTAAATAAATATTACCTAAGATTGTTATCTTTTATTATTGTACACCTACCACCCATTCCCAGTTTTTATTCAATAGTTCCATCCAAAGGTTGTACTCTAATTACTATTACAATGTATACTTACTTTTCTGTGTGTGTGGAATAAAATATATAAATAAGACATTACGTGAAAGATAATGTGAAGTTAGACCAACTTTTCATTACTTGACTAGGGTCTTTTTTTAAGGGGGGTAAATCATCGACTGCTCCCGCCTGGGTGAGACGGGAGGGAGTATCAGACTCTTACTGACTAAAAATCACCCCGTTCCTACCTACTCTTGCACTTCGAGCCGGAGCCCCGGCAACACGTTAAGTCCTCGCAAGAATAGCCTAGACTTAACGTTGTGAATTTGAAATCTCGAAGTGAGCTTAACTGCGGTCCGCCATGGTTGTGAGAATAATATCGACCAGTGATAATAGCTTAGTAGCTTTTTAAATGGGTTTTTAAGGTTCTTAAGAGACAAAAAATATTTCAACCTCGCCTTTCCTGTTCATTTCAGGGTCAAGAAAATTAAAATACATGTTCTTTTTCTTCTTCTTAAAAAAAGCGTTGCCTCACACTAGGATTTTCTCCTGCATCGAGGGTGCGTTTACAAACACACAAGTTCACATGACATCCAGACCCGAAACAACAATCTGTGGATCACACAAAGAGTTGTTCCGTGCGGGAATCGAAATCATCGAAGATTTATACTTACATAGATATTTACTTAGTTATGCTTCGTGTGTAAAAGCAGTAAATTCTAAACTCTCAATGGTAATGCATTTATTACAATGTCTGTTCCTGTTTTTAAAGTTGAGACAACCTTAAGCCACGTGTTTGTCATCACGTTGTTTTGTGAAACGCACGTAGGTTACGGTCTTACGGACCATGTGGTACATACTTTTCATATAGAATTACATTGGAGGCAGCAAAACCCGTTGGTTGTGTCTTTTTGCGTAAATAAGTACCTACATTCCGATTTGTGTCGCAAAAAATAATGTCGTTGATTGTCTAGTTGGTTGACTAGTTCGAAAGCGCGATATTTTGTGCTCGATACCAGTACCAGTAATAATATCATCCGTTACGATATAGAAGACCTTAAAATATGACTTTTTATAGTTTCCAGATCGCTATTAAAAAAAGTTACTGTCGATTAGTCATTCAGGAATGTTTAGACCTACTACATATGTATTTGATATATACTTAAATATGTATACATAATGTCGTCGTGGCCCGGAAGTTTAAGACGCCTTCTTCTCATGCATGAGGGTTCGAAACCTACCAACGGCAAGTACCAATGTGACTTTTTCCGAGTTATATGTACTTTCTAAGATTATTTAGACACCACTGACAAACGGTGAAGGAAAAACACCGTGAGGAAACCTGAACTTATAATTTCTAATTATAAGTTTGAAATCGCCAACCCGCATTGAGCAAGCGTGGTGATTAATGCTCTAACCTTCTCCATGTGAGAAGACGCTTTGCTCAGCAGTGGGCATTTATAGGCTGTTGATGATGATGATGATGATGATGATGATATACTTAA